CACTGAGATTGTGGGTACCGCGACCCCTTGCCTTTGCCTGGACGCAGACGTTCGCTGTTCAGTGTCAGCCCGCTGAGACCGCGGACTGCGAATTCTACTCGTTCCTTCTCCCATATCGCAGTCGACGTGCTCCATTGTTTGCTCGGTTTCACGTAGAAATCAGAGCATTTCCAGTCCGAGAGTTGCCCGCCGACCATTAGCGGACCGCACGGCGTCGGATGGCGTTGCCGGAGCCGCTTCTTGGCACAGTTTTCCTCTCTTAGTCACGAGAGGAAGCTTGCAAGGCGACCCGTGTTCGGGCCCATCTATCAGCTGTGCATATTAATGATCTGGTACGGGACGACATGGACCTAGGCAGGAAGTAAGGGCTCCGTTCGGACCGCGCAATCTTGCCTGCCTGCCCGTCCGTCGTCCTTCACATCATGAATAAGGACACTCCCCGGTCCTGGAAGGGTCGAGACACGAATCGTTACCCTCCACAAAAAGAGGACGACTGGCATTTCATAGTCCAACGCTAATTTCTCTGCTGTCTCTGGCAGCTCGAACCGGATCTCGGGGCTTGGAACATACTGCGAACGAGAGGGTTGTCGAGCTGCACAAGCACACAATGTTGTGTGCGGGTTGAAGGACTCGACCTCGCTTAATAACGAGTGCTTGGCCCTCTTTCTTGTGAGGACGGCGGGGTGACCAGCTGGTGCCGAGCAGCCGGCTGATCAGAGTTCTTCTTCCGTCAAGCGTTTGTGTCTTATGGACGGGTTTTCGGCTCCTGCCTACAGCAACAACAACGATACTTTCCAAGCTATTTCGCGTAGTGGGCTTCACTCTGCGATGTCTCCTGTCCTCTGACTAGGCACCTACCCATGGTATCGTACTTTCGCTGACGGAACAACTTTCGCTGCAGTCTTGCCCACGCTCGCGAGCCCCGGCGAACGAAAACACCTAGAGATACGCACTTAAAAAGGAGAACTCCCTCGTCGTTTTATTGTTTTCTTCGAAGGTCACCGCTCGTATCAAATCTTTTTTGGCGAGACTCCTGGGAGTCTTTTTAAGTTTCTTCAGGCGTGCAGAGTTCTCCGCGTCGTCGGCCGACGCCCCGTCAGGCTTGCTCTCTTTTGTTCTCCTTGTTAAATATCCTCCAGCTCATCGCTTATAATCGCCTTCCGCTTCCTCGACGCAGCGCGAACGGGGCTCCATGAAGTCGTCCGCTGCCGGCCGTAACTTTATTCGGAACGAGGGGAGGCTGGGACGCGCGCGGTGGTCGAGGTCGACGGAGGTTATGCATTACCATTGATTTCCGATGGGAGCGATTTTTCACGCAGTTCGCGCTTAGTTTGGAGAGATGGAACAGCTTGTGGCGAGCGAAATCGAGGGATGACACTCGGCTACCGATGAGGAGTGTTGGGTTCAGCGGATGGAAAAGTTGATGGCTGTCGCATCGAGGTCCTTCTGCCGATCCGAAGCAGAAGTCGCCGCGAACTCCGGAGGCTACGGGTTCCGGAGCATGAACGAAGTAGCAGTATTTGGATAGTCATGATCTGAGTACGCGATAACTTTCACCCTTGAATTGAAATGGATCACATGTGCATATGAAAGATCAAGATGAATCAATCGACCCACAAACGAATGGCAAGAACTCCGCAGCCGGGATTCGCATATCCCGCTGGCAGCCGTTCTGGAAACCCAAGTGCATACTTTGTGAAGCGGGAATCAACGTCCCTCCTCGTGGCGGGATCACGCAATGACGCTGACGTCGCGTCGTCGCCGAGTGGAGACAGAGCTCCAATCGGGCAGGAGGGGGGTCACGTTCCTTGCTCGAAGCGCTTGAGGCGCTAACCTCCGCCGAACTTGACGTCGGTGGAGCGTCGATACGTCAGAGTTGATCTTTCTGAGATGGCCAGTCAGCTGAAGAATATCGGAGACCGACGGAAGCACAGATGGTCCCGATGGTTCCTTTGAGCTCTCGGCTCCGTGCACACGAGCGCTCTTGGTGGTCAGTTCTCGCGAATTCGCCTCAGAGAACTCATCGCACATCAGACCGTTCAGCAGGAGCCCACGCTGCAAACCCTCCGAATCGACGTTCGAACCTTCGGACTGGTACGGAATACGCAATTCAAGTCGTGGCTCGCGATCAGCGCTGCTGGAAGAGCAAATCGGTCGCGGGACCGTCGCAGGGAAAAGTCACGTCTTCGTGACGTGCGCGTCGCTCTCTTATTGAACGCCAATGTCCTCGGGACATCTCCGGGCGATTCTGGAATCTCGGACAGTTTTTAATCTCGAATCTAGGGAGGAGCCCGCAAGGACTGAAGGCCAGCCTTTTTCGTTTTTCGAAACCCGCTCCCTGATACCCGGGTCCGGAGCGGATCGGGATCACGACTACGATCCACGGCAAATGAAATCGTTGGGGCATTGTGATGAGGGATCTGTCGAATTCCTCATCTGATTGCAACAATTGAATTGAGCGGGGCGACGCGAATGTTTATATTCCGAAGAGCGAAACAAAACGGAATATCTTCGCTGAGAGTCCGAGAAAATCAAGATGGCCTTGAGTCGTCCCTTTGCGGACATCGTTACATAATTTTCATGCCGGTCAGTCTTCCCTTTCCGCGCCGAACCCTTCCCAGCGAGAAGACCGATGGCTGGGGATCTTAATTACTATCACGACAATGTTCGGTCAGCGAAGTTCCGTGTGGCATTCGTGATACAGTGTATAGAGTTGAAGGAATTTATTGGGAGACTTCCTCTTCGCTCTCAATCGTTCGCCAGTCCAATCATCGTTGGGTGTGAGTTCAGTGAATCCGGGGACTTTAGAACCTTGGGTCGACGGAGTCGGCGCTGATTGGAATATGTACGTGCGTGAAATGGCGGATCGACATCGAGCCGCAAAGGAACTTCCTGTCGGGCTCTGAATATTGAAGACGGATGTGGGCATCTCTATCAGTTCATGACAACAGTTTTCCCGGGATTCGAGGTATTCTCTCTCGCGTACTCTCCACTAGGATCAGTAGCACGGGAATGCACGCGGCTAGATACCGAACAGACTTCCCATTCCCCCCCCCTCCGCGGGAATGTCGCTCGTCAATTGTTGCAACCGACGATACTTCCAGTGACTGTGGCATAAGTCACTCTCATTGAATGAACGTCTCGAGGGGCTCCGGTATCTTTCTGACTGTATGTCGCCGGTTTATCAAGCGACCTTCGCTTTCTGTGTGATATATCGTGTTCTTGTTGTGCTGAAGCGGAAACAGGGCGCGGTTCGGACTTGGAAATCTGTGCATACACAATAAATGACGAGAACAGACATTTCTCCATGCGTTTTCCGGGACGCTTGTATTCAAGAAACGTATGCGCTGTGAACTCCTTCCGCGCGAAGTTTCCTAAGGCCGAGCACCCGAATGGGATTCGTGGCGATATACGGAGCCCTCGACGGTCAGTCGAAATAAGGGCAATTCGCAGCCGTTGAAGCTGTCAACTGGTGACGAGAGTTTATCGATCCCGCGTGACCGAGGAGCCTGAACGGCGTAAGACGGGGTCTTTTCCTCTCCACCGAAATCCAGATTCATGGTCGACGAACGGATATCTCGAGGCACCGGAAGAAACGAGCAAACGAGTCCCTTAGTAGAATCCCGTCGATGAGTGAATGTCATATCGCACCAGACGCTGATGACAACGATCGACCGATCGGCGTCGTCGTGAGAACGGGCAGAATGGGGACCAGATGGCCCGATTCTGAGAACGTCTTTATTCGAGTTGCTACGAATTTTTTCGCTTATGTTCATACGCGTACCTCAAATTCGACGGTGAAACCCGCTCACGGAATCACCTCTTTCGAGTGACTCTCCACCGACTTCCATCGACTTCGATTTCAGCCGCACGATTTGGGAACCACTCTGCTTGAACAGCGGGGACGTGGGTCTTCAGAACGTCTGATCAAGCATGGGAGAGGTCTGCTCTCCCGTTCGACCGCTGAGGAAGTTGGGAAGAACTTCGTCTCCTAGTTATCCAGTCGCCAGCGCTCAGATGACCGCATTCTCGCGCCGAAGCCGAATACGTCAGACGTCGCTCGAAGTTGCCGTGTCATCCAATCCGTCGAAGTTCAAATCCCGATTTCCACATCGGGGAAAGTTAACAAGGCGGGAATCCTACTTCAAGAACTCGTTCCAGGGGTCGTGCTGACGGCGAAATATTCGTGGTAGATATTCATATGAATTCTCAAGATTCCCGTGTTGATGTTCACCGGAGCGGCGCCGCCGGACCATGTTCTCCGGGGCAGGAGATGTGGAAACTATATAGTGGGAAACTAAATTACCAACTTTGAGGTCTGGCCTAGTCCTCGACGTTCCCGTCCCTCTTCGTGGCGGCGGTAGCGCCTCGAGCGGCTCTTGTGTTTCAATGCATGGTGCATATTTCTTTGAGAATTGAAGTCGGCGGCTCCGTTCGCAAGGGCTCTGATGCTCGTTCTTTGAGCTCGCTCTTTTCGCGCGTCGCAACATTGTACTCGGAGGAATTCCGCGCGTCTGAGACCTAGCGACTTGGTGAGGCCAACAGGGCACGGTCCAGAGGGGTGCGGTGGGGCGTATTCCCGACGAGCGGCCGCTTTCTAAAAGAGCCAAACGCCTGCGCGATATCCCTGAGGAGGGGTAAACTTTTTTGCCCTCCGCACTGGATGAACTCCCCGCCTGTACTCGTGCTGCTCCCCCTCCTCGTGCTTTCCCTGTCAGTGGCGGTGGCCGTTTGGAAGGGAGAGCAAGAGCGCCCCGGGAACACATCGGACTATGATTGGAGGCAGAGGAACCGTTGTGGCTGAATGGGCCGCTTGCCTAAAGTTCCGGCGCTCCGGCGCCGTATCCGCTGCGATTACGAGCGACGGGGGAGAAGCCAAGTGAATTCCTGGCGTAATCTTCTCGGACGGCGAGGACTTCCTCCGTCTCTGAAAAATTTCCGGTTCCCTTGAAAAGCCGCATAGAATTCGGGTACTCATTGTTTTTGCTTTTCTATTGCAGCTCTGTCCGATCTCACCTGGTTCAGCCAACAGAAGACCCACTTCCGGAGCCCGCAACCGTTCGAGTTCAACTTGTTCCGCAGAGAATCTCGCCCGGAATGCATCAAGCGTCTCTACACAAAAGCTGCGGTCAAGGGCGATGGACAAGAAGTGTGCGAGGTCATCTGGGGCGATGAGCAGAAGAAGCTCAAACAAGATCTCTTAGAAATAGAAACTCGGAGGGTAAGTTCATGTTTCGACGTTTCATCCCACGTCACGACATTGTTCCGTGGAGGAATCCGAACGTCGGGAATAGCGTGACGTCCTGTAGCGTGAGACGGAGCCCGGCCAAGCACCCAAGCGATAGAAGCCGGCAAAATAGCTGTCGAACTCTCACGTATGAAGACATCTTCTCCTCTTTTTCCTTTCTCCACCCGGTCAGACACATACTCGCACAACAGAAAAAACCGAGGGTGGTGTCACTGCTGCGGTAGCTTCTACGTGATTTATTGCTGTCGGAAGTGGTCCTGAAATCCGACGCCGGCTGGCGGAGTGTATGTCACGTTGTCGGATACGCTCTCACGCGGACGCCTCGTATCCGGAACCGGAATAAAAAAATACCGTCGCAAGGAGTTCCTTTCGTTCTCTCCGGCGAACGCGCGCGATTGTATGTGGGTCCGAATACGCGCGCACCCGGTCTCACTCTCCGGCGTAGAATTCCGCCGGCTGAGTCCAGATCAGCGATCGACTAATCGTTGCGAAGTCGTCACTTTCGGATGCGGCGTATTCTCTCGCCGCGTCGTGACGTCGTTTGGCACGAGTTGATTCGCAGCGAGAAGCTCAACCGGATGTCGAGAGAAGGGGAGGCGAGTACAGTCGATGCGATACTATGTCTGCGTACGGCTCGTCGTTGTTGTCGTCGCCCGAAAGTGAGATGTCCGTCGAGCTCCGCCGTCGCTGCCTTCTCTCTCGTGTTATGCAACCGAAGGACGAGCGGCTCCGCCAGAAGAACCGCAAGAAGCGCCAGAAGCTGCTTCACGTCAGTCTGAGCCGGGTATCCATTGCGCGCGCTTCCGACGTCAACCGTGTCGGAGAGTTTCTTTCCTCTATCGTGCTCTTTTGTGCTTCCTCCGGGTGGATGCGATACAGAAAATCGTGTGGAACTTTACGACAACTCAAATCTGCCACATGACCCGGAAATCAGCCGGTCCGGAGTACATGAAATGGCGGTCATCATCATTTTTGTGATGCTCTTCTTCTGGGTTCTCGATAATCTCGAAGCGAGTGAAATCTTCAGAACCAGTTTGCGAGTGCTCGTCGCATGCTGAACGGATTCGCGCCCCAGTTTCGCTGCGGAGGATTCTCCTGAAGTTATTGTTCAGCTCGATTTGTCGTGCAAATGTCAGACCTCTACGGACTCTTTTGTATCTGCCGAAGACTTCGTCACGTGAGCATGGAGCGGCCGACCACTCGTCCATTCAGATTGTTCATTCTACGTGAGCGTGTTGTTGTCGTAACCCAGTCGAGTGAGCAGAACTCTTGAGCGACGACTGTGCTGAGTGTTGTTGGACCTCCCCTTTCGATTTCGACGGCCGGGGTCCCGTGTGGAACTTCCGAGATCTGGAGATACTCTACGTATCGAGTCTCATCTTTGAAATGTCCCAGTCGACTGCATATACCGCGTGAGTGCGCGGTCTGTTGTTTTTTCTTCAATAAAGTCTGTTCCCTCAGACTTCCGAGGAAATTTGACAGAATTTCTCTTTGACTCAAACTCCACGACGATCAGATTTGGAAAATCATTAAAGGACGAATCCTCTGCCGCGTGTCCGTGGGAGCATGGAAAAGAATTGCGTGGTGACGAACTTGTCCGACAGGTACTTGCGTTCGTGTCCAATGATGGCACTCTATGAATCGATGCGATCGCTCGCTGAGACGGCGGCGCCGACAACAAGTGCATTTCATGCAGATAAATCGGAAGAGAAGAGAACTGACTACTTCCGTTTATTGATAACGGCATCTATCACGCTGAATCTACGTTTCTGGTGCAGAAACAGAAGTGCGTTCGCTTGTTTGCCCGCGCGACCGGCTCTTCGGCTAGATTTTCCGTTCGGTCGATCGGTTCACGGAGCCTTGAACTCTGGAAGGTTAGTTTTCGTTTTTCTTCCTCTCACGGAGGCTTGACAATCGACTGGCGTAGACGGTTGATGAGTTCCGAAGTTCGAGGTCTTCCGGCACGGCGGGCTCACCCTGACTTAGACGAAGGCATTTGAGTTTCTCGTCGGTACGTGTACGTGGACATTCGATATGCATCGGAAGCTCACCGTGAGGGTAGCTCGGAAGCATAAAAAGGACGACTAAGTAAGGTTAATACGATTTTCATATCGAGCGTCGGTGTTGTGCTTCACGGGAGTGTGGGGGCGGCCTCCGCGTCAATTTGAATATGACATTGCGAGCCCCACGGCAAGACAGGCTGAGCATAAAAAACTCCAACCACTGTCTGGAATGTCTCCCGTAGCGGTAGTTAGATTATTATTCATGCATCAAATAATAGATAAGCTCGAGTCGTCGATGGCAACGAGTGATGGCATATCCGATTCGATGACGACGGAAAACTGGAGGGACTCGCTTTTTAGAATTCGAAATTCTAGAGGACGGACGTTCCGGCAGAAGGAGAGAAGCGCCTAGGAGCAACCAGGAAAAGAGGATGCCTTCCTGTATGAGCATCTTCCTTTCGGTGAAATCGTACACGCGCGCCATTCGAATCCCAATGTCTGCGTCGCGGGACATCGATGAGGAAATTTTCCTGGAAGCGAGGACCGAGTTCGCTGAAGAACTCATTGAACGAGAGTTATCCGGTTTTTTGCCCGCTGCTTGCAAGAGGTCGTAGGTTGAGGAAACCTCGAGCCGGGCCAAACTTGACTCCGAAAATGAACGCAAGAGTAATTTCCGAGATCGCCACGCCGATAGTTCGCTGCTTCTCAATAAAACAAGATCAGCAAGGCGCCAAGACGCTTAACGCCTTGAGCTTCTCTCAACAACGAGACGCCATCGTTAGGTCGCTCTTGGCTCTGGGAGTGTATGTGATAATTTGCCGAAAAACGACGGGCGGGGATCATTACCCGTTCATTCGACTCAAAGCTGCTGAAAGGCTTTCTCTTGTTCGTTCGCGCACCGGGTGTGAGATTTAAGGTCATTGGAAATAATGATGTTTGCCCCATGCGCTAACCATGTCCACGAGCGTCTTCCGTCAACAAGTTTCAAACAAGCTGCGCGTGAAATTCAAGCGGTTCTGTCGTTGTTTGTTTGTTCCCCGACTTTATCATCATTTCGGAGAAGAGCCCGCTATTTCCAGATTTCACGGGACGCTCCTGCAGGCTCATTTTCTCTCCTCACCATTTCGGTTTGTACGGGCTTGTTTCTGAATGAGAAAAATTGTCCGTAAACACTCGCGCTGTATAAAATTCGGATGTCGGCGATGAGTACGTGATTTGTAGCGGCTGACGCCGTCCCGTCGGAAGTATCCTCGTCGTTGGCGAATCCGGACAATTATTATCCAGAAGAAAATATTCTGTCTCGGATTCCATGCGCAGAGTGCAGCGGAAAACGAATATCGACGATATAACGCCGGTCGGAAAACTTCCCGATGGAATGAGTCGTTTGAATTGAATAATCAATTGAGCGTCCGATGGCAAATAAACTCTCGAAGACTGACTTCTCCGAAAGTTGAGACTCCAAAGTACTCGTCAGCGTCAGGAATGGTTTCATTAGTCATCCCAGACTTCGTTAGAGAGATTACGAGCCGAGAACGTCATCGAAAGTTCTCTACATGCATCGCCTTTCGGAGAGCCCGAGTCAGTGTTCCCATGGGGCGACCTAAGGTCTCCGACCAGGTGTATGATGAAACCAAACGGAACGCTGTCGACGTCGATGATGAATTTCGCGGTTGTACCGAGACGACCCCCTGCATGCCATGAGCGGATAGGTTTTTGATTGGACGATCGAGTTTATTGCTTCGTCAATAGAGGGCGCCTCACGTGCTACGGCTGCTGCTGCTGCTCCACCCTGAACAGTTTTCTTCTTCTTCTTCTCCTCACTTACTACTGCGGTATGGTCTAGTATAGCCGCTCGATTCCGCTGAGAGTCGGCGACGAATACCCTCTTGATGTTGATGTTGTCGCATGGCCCCTTTCCTCTGCCATCCAACCAGTGAGCCACTCTGTGAGCCAGGCTGCCAGTCGGCGCGCTAGCCGCTCTTGGATCGAGTTTCAAGCAGAACACGAACCGACGACTCTTCCAAATATCTTGGAAGTCGCTGCCCAGTGCATGACCGACCCACTGGAGGTTGCGGCTTGTTCAGGATGGTGCTACATGGAGGAAGTACGGACCAGTGTTCCGAATGGAGATACTATGCCGTGACACCGGTACGTCTCGTCAAAGTTCGACCTTTTTCGACAGTTTCTCCCCTCGCTCCACTGCTCCCAGGAGCTGATCACATCTACGCCTGAGAATCCGTCAAGCACCGAATTATTCTCGAGTGGGAGTTTGATTGTTGGCTCGCTTGCTCGTCTCTTCTCCCCGAAAATTTAACGGAGCGAAATAGTACGTGAACGTCGAAAAAGAATGCATCGTCTACGGAAAAGACCGGACTTGTCAACCGGCCAAGTTCTCGAATAAATCGCGCTCCCATCGAAGTCGTCCACGGAGGCTGTCGCAGAATGACGAGCTCGACTCCCTAGTCGAGATTGCCAGCGCGTGGAGGACACAGAACGATTATTACAAGATATTAGTTCCCAAACGAAGATATCGATGGCGAGCAGTCGAGTAAAACCCGTAAGAAGATTCCTAATTCCCGACCTAGGACGAGTCATTGCGACGAGCGCTCCCGTCCCCAGCGGCGATTCCCCTCCCAAGGCAATCCCCTTTTCAAATCGAGGACCGACCATGATTCGAATTCATTTCGAAAAAATCCTATGGAGGGCATTCGGACGAACGAGCCATAAGTCACTCAAATTACGGAACGTCGATGTAGTTCTCCTCTAGGAAACGCTCGACATCGTAAGCAAGCGGTCGGCGACGTAGCGTGCTTCTCTTATTAGGAAAAGATTAGATCGAGGCCGTTCGCATTCCTACCACGGCAGAGACCGTTTTCAACTGTAGGTACTCTACGCTAATCAAGGGACAAGCTTCACGTAGCTGTAGTTTTGATCGTGCAAGCTAAAGAAATTTAAATTCCTTTGCAGCCCACCATCCTCACACCCGCGCACCAGAGATCGCGTTCGGCCCCCGCGCGACCTGAAGGAAATGATGAGGTCGAGGGAGCGACGACGATCATCGAAGACGATGAGCCCCCTCTGATACTTCTACCGACGCCCGAGGAACAGCTGCAGGAGCTCACCAAAGAGTTTCCACCAGCCATCATTAGCATAGACACCTCGGGCAAATCCTTTTCACGAATGGCCTCCATGAGGAAGTCTCTAATACATGTGAGTCACATAAATTCGGAATCTTCCGAAAAGCCTCCGGAGGGCGTAGCCTACTCCGATTTATATGAGGTACAGCGTACGAATTCATTATCCTGCCATTATGTGTACGAGCGGCCACGGATATTTGACCGGTCGTCACAGTATCACAAAGATCTGGGGACGCTAAATCTTTCCCTGCGGGAGCGAGGAGGGAGTGCCGTAGGAATCTGATCTCGAGGCCCGGGAGCACAATGAGCTGAATGTTCCGAGGAACTCGTGTAACAGTTTCACAGAAGAGGTCCCGGCGTGTTGCCGAAACTTTCGGTCTGTCAATATTAGTTCACAAACGGCTGGTTGCATTGAAGTGGACGTCGGGTAAATATTGTGACTCCTCCGATCGGGCCGACGGAATGCAGCGATACGGGGATGCCTGAAATCGAAAATTCCGGGATCGGATTCCTCAGTCTCTGGATGGGGTCATGATGCCGAACATTTCCGTTGGTTCCTCGTTCGGGATTGGTCTAGACTCGGACGAATTCCAGTTTCCATAATATCGAGCCCCCCTCCTATAGACGAGCTCGAAGGTTTTGAATTGCATTCATGACGGGAACCGCCAGGAAGGCTCCTCTCGGGACTCCCGCGGAGAGCTTACATCAAGGGTCTTCTGTAGTGACTTCACGGAATCAGAGCTCAGCCAGACACCTACTTCGGGTTCCAGATCGAATGGCTGCCATTTTCCCGCTTATTCCGGCTGATTCCTTTAGCCACTAATCATACGATGTTGCGGTGTGTTCTCCTGACTCGTATAGTTAATGCTCCGTAATTCTTGGTGGATTACTGGCCTTCTGATCACACGCTTGTTCAAGCCGGTACTATAGAGTCGGAGAAAATCCACTAAGTCTACGCGTGGGGAATCCACGGCGTCGAGGTCGAGCTGCCCTCGTTTCCCGACGAATCTTGAAGAAACTCAGTCAGTCGAAATGCATTCTTGACTTCTGCCGTTCAAATAGGATCTATACCGAGAGCTGTACTTTCAGGTGGACTTTTTCATCCGAACGAAAAACCGGAAGAATAAGAAAGTCAAGAGGTCCAACACGGTCTGTGACTCGTGTTCGCAGGGTGGAACTCTCCGGAGGGAAACCGTAAGCGCTGGAAACCTGAAGCTCAGCCATTCTTCTGTTCAGACGGACAACGCTAACAACAACAATAATATCAACAACAGCCAAATAAAAGAAAGAACCAAGAGACGGTGAGCGATATTCTCTTTTCGAACTCGTGTGGTGCGCTCGTACCGAGTTCCATTTATGACCTTGATTTTGAGGGGCGGTAGCTGTCCCTGTCAGTCTCTTCTCGCAAATATTGGAGAGACACTGGATGCGAATCTAAGGTTTGCGAATTCTGATCGTTCCCAACAGATCCGACCGACTGTCTGCGGGATCCGTGAGCGGTACCGTGGAATCGTCCGGATCGTCTCAAGATATACCCACAACATTGAAGAACGAGAAGCGAATTTCTTTCTACGAGAAGCTTAAGCAGATGGGACGTCGGCGGGAGAGTTCCAAAGAACGCAAAGAAGACAAGGAGAAAAGCGCGAAACTGCCAATATCATCGAATTCACAGGCCATCAACGTAGCCGTGAAGCTACGAGAGTCATCCAGCAGACCCAACGAGCAGGGTAAGCTTGGTCGTTGCTTGTTCTCGAGCTGCTTCCTCAGCATGTGTCGGATGTTCGTGGGCTGTTCGTCGTTCTGGTTTGTATTCCAATGTTTGACATCGCCGACCGGGCCACCGAGGAGGCACCATGTCAGCGAATAAATTGGTCTCTCGCTGATCAATACATAGTCAGTCTCATTCGATATGGTCTCCGTCGAAGTTTCCCGAGCGAGCGATGGTTGTATACTATGCGAGCCGACAGCTTTCCCGAAATGAGAATGGCCATCTCGTTAGTTTTATTATTCAAATCTCGACGTCGATGTCAGCAGACATTCAAGCTCCAGAGAGCACTCGTGTCAAGCAATCGGCATTGCCGGGATTCCGCCGGGGGAAGAGCCGTCAACGACGATCGATGATGGGAACCGAATGGTTCTGCTGGGGCGACTTGAATCATCATGCCTAGGCGAACCCGCTCAATCCAATAATCACCATCAGCCGCTCCTCTCGTTCGCGAAGAGCAATGCCGCAGGAGCGGATTCTGTCGCATGTCGGACGAATTTTCGGATAATCATCAAGATGAACCCTCGACTTCCAGGACAATCCTCCAGCGGGAACTGGTCTGGCACATCGTCTGGTGCGTCCACGAGAGCTTCAGACTGTGATAGAGATGTTTCTCCGCAAACAGTTCAAGATGTTTCATCCCACGATCGGAGTGGTTCCACTGTGAAAAAATCTACTTCTGAAACGTCACTCGAGAAAGACTCGGCGCTTTCGGATGTAACACAAACTACGGATCGGTGAGTAAACTCTCCAAAAGGGGCTGCACGAGAGGTCATGGTCCTAGAGTATCAAAACGTGGCGTTTTCTATTATTGTTGGGTTCGAGACAATCAAACCTTTTCGGGCGGAAAAAATCCGAGCGTGTCCCTCGGGGAAGCCGCCCAGCACGCCGAGTTTTTCTGAGTCTCGCAGTCGCTCGCGCACCGATAGGTGCAGTCGTTTGATGGCATGTGCGTCCGTCTCCCGCATATAAACATTGAGCCAACCAAGAGAGCCACAGATAAGGGAGTTCGAGGATTCCTCTGCTAGACCGGCTCTGATGAGTCAACGCTCATTGCCCGGAGATTCTCTCTCGGCTCTAATCTAAACCTCGACATGTGATTAGTGCGAACCCCATCGTCACTGATCGGAGATATCCCGGAGCGTCGTGTGGCTTGTTTCTGATTCCGTTCTGAGCTCTCACGATTATTCCAAACAGGATGCCCCAAAGAATGCTGTCGCCACCGCGAGTGAAAGCGCTCAAATCAGCTCATCGTCCGCCCCACCTACGCAAGATATCCACTTGCTCCGACGACGGAGAGTCGTCAACGTATTCGATCGATACGGATGGCTACTATACATCGATGCACACAGACTCTGGCATCCCTCATCAGATTCCAGAAGAACTCGTCGAGGTCAGTCTTTCATTGAGAAGCCGATATATAGACGGGATGAAGAGGGATTTTCTTGTGAGTGTCGATTCTTCCGGACTGTCCGGATTTTATTCCTACGACGATCTCGTGCAGGAACCGGAACCGTTGCCTGGTCCAGGAGCGCAGTTGGCCCGTCGCGCCTCTCAGGGTTCTATTGACACTGCAAGTGTAAACAGTATCCTGTCGGCGTGCGACGCACAGACTATCCTGGACGACGACGACCTCCACGACCTCAAAACGTTGACTCTGACGAGAGCCCGGATGCAGAAGGAAGTGCTCGCTCAGAGTACTCCGACGAAGTGAGTTTCAACGCAGCGTGACGTCTATCGGAAGACGTCTGTCTAGTCCAGTGTTTCCCAAGTATGGGCAAGTGACCCACAAGTGGGTCACGGCGATTTCCCAAGTGGGTCACGGGACTTCCGGACTCTGCGCGGAGCAAGTAGCGCACTTCTCCCATTAAATTAGCTCCTGATCATTCTAATAAAAATTGTGGGTGAGGAGGTTGACGAAGTCTCCTCGCTAGTCAGGAAAATATATTTCACTCCTTAATATTCGTCGCCATTAAAGAGTGTTTCCGAACACATGCTCTTTTTCAAAGGTGCTGGGTTTTGTCGTGGGCCATGGGGTCTTTGTCGAGTCCAGATGTGGGTCATTGGGGAAAACTCTTGGGAAACACTGGTCTAGTCATTCCATTCAGTCAGAAACCGTTCCGTCGTGATTTCTGGCGCTTTCCTACGTTCGAACGAAAAACCCTTATTGTCCCATTTTCCCCTCAGGTCGAAACCGAAGCCCGCTCCACCGCCGAGAACGTCGAGCGTTTCGTTGACGACGGCTCTGGAAAATCGACGCAGGAACTCTCTGAGCACATCGGTTGACACCGAAGGTTTCGTCGTTAAAACCGCCATCAACAAATACCGTTATCCGTCGATATGCGTGGTCAGCTCGTCGGAAACCAGTGAGAGCAGCGACGACACCAAAAGCCCCCTGACGGAGAAAGAACTCTCCGACCCGAGTCAAGTTTCGTCTTTGTCCCCGATCAGCCATTCGGAAGAACATCGCGTGTTTCAGATCAAGAACGCCTTCCAACCGGTGGTCATGCACCCGACCAGGTTGAGGTCTTTCTCGATCGACGAAAACGCCAACGAGAAACGTTTCGAGGAAGCCGACTTCTCGAGTTTGCCGCCGGATCTGCACATCGGTCAGGCTCAAATCCTCCACTTGGATACTGAAGTTGCCCAGCAGCACGAGCACATGAACAATGCTAACAAGACATACCAAAGATTGTATCGGCCGAGTACTCTGCTCGCCAGGAACTACACGGACAGAGAGTGGATGACCGATGGCTCGATGTCGCTCCCGCTCGATCTGGCGTCGAACGGAGTTCCCCTTCGTCGGAGAATGTCGCCATGTGTCGTTTCTCCGACAAGAGGAATTCTCTCCCGGAACTCGGAAATTCTTTCGCAATCATCCCCGGAGACAGAGACCAAGAGTTTGTCGGAGAGCCCAGTCGACAACAGTCCCCTGGGCATTCCTCCGCCGCCCCCTCTCCTTAGCTACCATTCCTCGATCCTGGACGAAGGCTCGATCCGAGAGCCTTCGGTGGCTCAAAGTCCGGCCAAATCCCTCGAAGATAACTCCATTCAACCAAAGTATTCAACCCTCTCATTAGGCAGGAGCTCACGCCTGCCCGAGATTCTGAGATCCTCGTCTTCGACGATTCCCCGTTCATTCAAACTGGCGGACGTCATTGAGGACCTCTCTCCGACAAAGTCGAACCATATGTCTACGTTTGCCCGGATGATGGTGCGCTCCGACACGGAACCGACCAGCAGCTACGCGATTCCTGCGATTCAAGATTTGGAAAGATTCCAAAGGTGGGTGCGGTGTCTATTCACGATTTCGATCCTCGTTCTCCTGGGATGATGGAATTCATAGTCTCGAGATTATCTCGGATCACCTGAATCTCCAAATGACGAAGGCTTCTTGTGTTCTCTCCACAGATGTAAAAGCGTAGAAATTTGCGTTGCTCGACCCCCGTCGTCAGGATCCGAACGGTCTGTCGGCGAGGGTAGGGGAACACCAATGAATCATTTTTCGCCCATTGGCACAACTCACGCCCCGCAAACCACTCCCGGTATACATCACCCCGTCGCACTCAGTCCCATTCAGACGGTTCATAATCCGAGATCCCGATCAGGTTTGTTCTGCATTTTTTTTCTATTCGATTCGAAAAGTCCATAAGTGTCATATCGCACGAAAATATTTCGCATTCGCATTGGGTTATAGAACCAGTCTCTTTTCATACGCGAGGCACGGCGATCGCAGTGTCCGTACGGTCGCTACGCACCCACTCAGAGTCGATCCCGACCGGTATTATTTTCTGACGGCGCGAAATTCCCAATTACAGGAATCGTCGATCTGGATCTGAACCTAGAATCGTGTTATGTGCCTCCACCGCAGCCGGAACTGCCTGTTGCGCCGAATAGACCGTCGCGTCCGTCGAGTTTGTACGACGACTCGAAAGTCTACGCAACTTTCCTTCCGGGTCCGCACACCCCGATCGCGACCTACGTCCCAACGAAGCAGTATCAATCAGTGTCATCCGACGTCACTCCTGGCTATGCGACACCATACGAACATACGACCAGATCGTATTCACCGAATCAGAATAGTCTTCCATCTCGGGTCTCGGAGCCCCAATCGAGAAAAACGCCTCAGTACACGAACCCGTACGCGTCAAGCTACCAAACACCTGGGCCGCCACAATACGAGCAGCGCCCACTTTACGGTGGCCAGTCTCCAAGGCTCTCATCGAGCCTGGAGTACTGTGTATCTGACGTCGTTAATACCGCGAACACCAATGGTCCCGCGAAGAGCATGAATCGCAACTTGCTCGGTTCGACCGATGTCTCCCCCAGGAGCTCGAGGTCGGAATCGCCGAGTAGTCGATCCGAGACGAATTACCCACGAGATAGAAGGTCATGGTCGGTGCAGAGCGACAATCCTCCCGTGTGCCAGAATGACGTCAGAAGAGCGTCCCTTGCCAGCGACCGTCTGGGTCCATGCAAACCGACATCGCTGACGGACTTCAAGCGATTGTTGATTCACACAAGGAGTCAGACGAACCCTGCCGGCGAGCGGAAGTCCGCAGCTGAATTGTTAAAACTAGCCAAGCAGAACCCCCCGAGCTCGGGACCAGCTGTTTGTGGAGGGGGTTCCGTATCGTCCGGAACCAAGAGGCTCCCCGGTGCTCTGAAATTCAACGCAGCCATCGAGCCTATCGAAGAAGAAGGGGAAAGCGGGAATAATTCCCCCGCGAAGCCTTCGATCGTTTGATCGGCGCGACGGGAACGTCCCTTGCTTTAATTGAACTTATTAGATCGAGTCGATGGATAAATGCTGTACGATTCTGTCCATCTGTGTTCCGCGCGAATCATTCTGTTGTGAAGTTATCGCTTCCAAATCACTCCACACTGAGAACATGATTCGAAGGGATCACCTGCCCCGAGTAGGTTGCCATTCCCTCACGAAATGAAGAAAATGCGATCTCTCCAAGGAATGCTCTAGTTCCAAGTTCCAACCCAAAACTCGACCCTCACGTGAGTGGGCTCGAGTTTGGAGCTCATCTTTCGATTCCTCCCATGGGATCACGTTTCCCTTTTCTCAACCTTCTCAATCACTCTCCGACTCACTCTTTAGGCTCACTCCCACATGTTGTCATCTACCTACTTCACTGCCGTCTCGATCATTCACGACCGCGTGAGTGTCCACGATCTCTGAAAAGCTGTCAGGCAGAGCAATAGTTCTTTTTTCCCTAGCCGGAAAGCCGTAGACACGCTTCATATCTCTATTTCCGCACGAGTTTTCGGTGATGGATATTACGAAGTTTCAACTCCACACATTCAAATGTGAAAATTGTTGTCCTGCCAATGTTGAAACTGATGTAAGTATGTTCAATCACATTCGCTCCGAATACGGCTAGACGCACGAGAGTATGCCGCTCTAAAAAGCGCTCCACAGTGACTAATTGTGCAACAGAATGATTCGTCGCCTTGGAATATAGACGACAGCTTGAACTGAAGGTACGCGCGTATCGCTCTACTTGGAGCTCGATGATCTCGAGCTTGAGCCGCTCCCCGTCTTAATAGTCCGAGTCGGGGACTGCGCTGCCAATTGTCTGTGTTCATTCAGGAGATCTCTTGGATGAGCTTGTCGAATCCTCCCACGTTGACAGCATGCATTCCGACATCACCTACCACGAGAACGACTAGTCGACGGTTTTTGCTTCCACAACCGAAGCTCGAATTCAGCCCTGAGCGTCCCGGAATCCGCCACCTACCATTCAAGGAAGCCCCCAAAGCCAAGGGAATCGTAGAACACCTTAGGGACATCAAAACCGCAGATTCGAATCGAAGGGTCACCTTATCGCTAGATCCTGCGGCGATAGCTATTCTTGCGTCGAACTCATAGCAGCGACTACACATTTAAATCAGAGCGAAACAATGGATCAAGTTGTGAGTCCGGTTCCCGGTTGGCATTCACAGATAGTTATTGCTGTATAAACTGTATTATGTTTAATATATACGATGGAGATGTAGAAATAGAATGTGTATATTAGACGGAGACTGTCGTTGGCAGCTTGGCGAGGCAATGATCAGCGATCAAGCTCAGAAAGTGGATTGATTATGAGTGTCAACGACCGAGAGAATGTCGAAGCTTAAGCGGAGAACAACCGACGACGAGAGAAAGTCTGAAAATTTTTGAATAAATATTTTTTGTTCGAGCCGAGGCTCAACCACGGCGATCGCACTTGTCATTCATACGCTGTCGGTTACGCAATGGACTTCAATCTTCCTCTTCAGAGCAGAGCCACGTTCCGCATTGTAGTTTGAAAGGAAATAACCCTCTTCAACAGCCGCCACTATTTCGGGAGTTCTCGATCGGAATAGACAAACTTCGAATCTAGACGTCCGCTCGCTCGTTCCCACAGCCGAACGGTCAGCCTTATCATGGAGCACTGGTATTGCTACCGTCGACGACACTTTGAGTGTTTGTCTCAAATCTTCCAGGAGCTCGTCATTCGCAGCTGATGACCTCGCCAAGAAAGCAACACATGAAGCATCCGCGCATGGCAGAAGTTTCATGGAAAGCGCGATGAAGTTCCTGGGCTTTCTGGGCTGATGAGTTCCTGGGCTGATGAAGCTACCCATCTAGATTCTTTGACTTTTATCATGATTCTGCTCCTGATGCACTGACGCTTGACCATTCGTTCGCGACTTCTCCAGAAGCGCATGATTCGTCGGATGTAGTCATCAAGGGGTAGGTATGAACTCCCTATCCCGCATTCAACTTGAGCAGCGGAAGTATCCGATGTTGTCCACGGAGAAAAGGAGCGAGTCCGGCGAAGTACTGAGGGGCTCCCCCTCTTTCTCAAGGGGAATCACTGCTTTTTAGGAGCCTGTTCGCAACCGCTTTTGCAAGAAAGACATTTCACTTCAAATATAGATGAGCACTTGAGCTGTAACATCACCGCCAGCGATTTGCAGCAATCCGCTGAAGGACCGGAATCTGTAGTCCCTCACGATATTTGCGATTTCGTCCTTTCGTATGTATTCACCAAGATCGATGCGAACGCGACCGAAAGCTGGAGATTGAAATAAATAGGCTGAACACTACTCGAAGCTCACTTGGGAGCCGAGACATATATTTTGCCCTCAGGGATCGTTAAGCTGACAGTCCGGAGTATTCAATCGAGATGGAATGCCAGATACGTACCCGACGTCGTCTGGATATTGGGGGCGTGACACTCTTTCCACCCAAGGTCTGATTGTTAAGGGGAATCCCTCGTTTTTTTTCGCAGATGTCAGTTACGCAACACGAGCTGGAAGAGGGGTCTTGGGTCTTGAGCGGGCTCTTCGGCGCGAGAAGCACTTTCGCTTCCCAGACGCCGAAGTCGACGCTTCGACCGCTGTTCCGGACGACACAGTGAGTTCCGGTAGAAAGGCAACAGAGACCAGGCAACCGCTCGAGTTGTGTGCACTCCGCCGGTTTCCTCGCTCCCTGGGACATATCCGAAAACATCTGATAGTGTGGGTTTCATATTCTTCGTGTCCCCCTCGAGTTTCAAGGTCCGAATTCGACGACTCGAGTCGGTTACGCTAAATCAAGCCCGGGTAAGTCTGGACAAGATTCAGTCGGAATACTCATATGGAAACGCTCCCGAACGCCCGAGGAACTCCTGGAATGGGACTGCGGACGGAATCGCTCGGAGGGGCCGCGCGCTTCTCTTGGACCTCGTGGATTCCACCCCGCGATCCCAGAACAGCGGACTGGCCGTTCATCGGGAACCTTCCGTTCGTGCTCATGTTGACGCTCGGTTACTGTTACATCGTTAAGGTGAGTAGTGCAGTATAGCACTCCTTGCAGATAACGATCTCAGATGACCCATCTTTCATCATCTTATCACGGATCTGAATGCAGGTTGCCGGACCCCGATGGATGGCCGACCGACCCGCTTTCAATGTCAAGCCCCTGGTTCAGCTATACAATATCAGCATGGTTCTCTTCAATCTGGCTTTCATGATACAGTTCCTAAGGCACAGCTACCTTGGCGGAGGCTATAATATTTTCTGTCAAGGTCAGTGAGGATGTGGGCGTGCCGAACTTATATATTTAAACTCGAGTCACGGGGCAATTATTAATCGGGGAATACTCGATTGCCGAGTGTGCGAAACTTTTCTTTCGATGGAGCGAAGAGTCAATCGTCGTGACTAGGTTTTTGAAAGAAGAGGATTTTTCGGAAATGCTAGTGATCATGCTGCATCAGTCGAATGTTGCAAACATGGCTTCTTGTTTGGGTCGAACTTTGACTCGGGGCGAAGTGACATTTCGACGAATACAATAGATCTGACGAATCGTTACATCTGCTCCTTCCGGGAGCGCAGCAAGTCGAACAGTTGAATGAAGAACCGTCGTTTTTTTTTCGACAAGTTTATGTACGCCTGTAGAAAAGACGAGTGTCTCGCCGGGGGTTTCACGCGGCTCGCTGTCAGTCGGCAGCGCGCTTGGCCGCGACCACGGCCACGGTCGACATCGGCTATTGGGCAACTCGGCCCCGGAAGAAATGCTGCGGACACACGTTCTGAGCCGTGGCTGGAGCTGCTGCTTAGTTGCGATCCATGAGAACTTGATCTTCGAAAGTAACTCGGGGGAATTCTCGGGCTTGGGTTGTGAGGCAATGTGATGCTGATTATAACAATATAGTGTATAATTATAATTATTATTTACATCTATATCTTCCTCCGTTCGGACGGCGAGGATGACCCAATAAAGATTTCCTCCAGAGGTCCAGCAGCATGACTCCGCGGAGGTTCTCCACTCTCCACCACCGCGGACTTGAATCCGTGGAGTTTGAATTCAATGGAAGCTCCAAAATCACTAGAAATTGGAAATTCAGATCCGAACGAGCGTCCTCGTGCCTAATAATTTATTGTCTTTCACTCCGCAGGGATGACGCATTCGACCGACGAGAACTCGATGAAAGTACTGAGTCTTTGCTATTGGTATTTCTGGGTCCGCGTGGGCGACTTCCTTGATACTCTCTTCTTCCTCCTTCACAAGAAGTTTTCACACATCACAACTCTGCACTACACCCATCACGCTCTCGTGGTCTGGTCTGGTTGGCTCTGGCTCACCTACGGGGCGGACGGCCAGACATTGCTCGGATTGATCGTGAACTCCGGTATCCACGTCGTCATGTACACTTACTACTTCTTGGCTGCACTCGGTCCGCACATGCAACCCTACCTCTGGTGGAAGAAGTACATCACCAAAGCCCAGATCACCCAGTTCGTCTTCCTGATGATCCATATCCTCATCCCCCTCGTATACGACTGCGGTTATCCCAAGGGAATGATCTACCTGGCTTTCTCGCAGGGAGCGTTGGGCCTGACCCTTTTCATCAACTTCTACATCCAATCATACATCAAGAAGGAGCCCAGGAAGGAGGTCCGAGATAATGAGGCGAAACCCATCGATTGCCAACCCGATAAGACAGTCGATGAGGCAGATCATCGAAAATCTAAGAGAGCCTGAATCCAAATCTCGAGTGAAACTAGTCCGGATTTCAATCCTATCGCCATAGTCCTTATCCGTCTTGCACAAGCCCCGTCGTTGACGTTTATCGTTGCGTGTGGCAAACTGAGACTTCGTTCGGTGGGGGTTGTGCTTTCATGTTATCGTGATGTCCTAGTGGTACGAGCTAAGAGCTACATACGTAAAGTCTGAGTGTGGAAGGAAAGCTCCTAATTCATGTCTGCCCCAGTGAGGGGAGCAGGGGAAAAGCTCAGCGCGGATTGATCCATACTGACCCGGATCGATTCGTACCACTCCGGATCGGATGATCCGAACCGCAGAAATCTACAGAATTCCGAAATAAACGCGACCTTCATGGTTTTGATGTCTTCATCATTTATCGTCACATTTATCGTCAATAGATATCATACTTCATGCATCTATAATCTCATTTCTCGTTCATGAGTGGGTAGATAACAACACATTCTAGACCGCGTCTTGCATCATTCGACAGTTGAGGTTATTCTTTTTCTCATCACACATATATGAATTCCCCGATTCTCATCCTCATCCTCCGATGTTTAGCTCTTCAACTACGAGCATTTCGTTAGACCCAAAACTGTCCCCTCGGGACCTCTAATCAGTGAGTTGAATCTCGAAGCTCTCCCGAGCTGAAGAGGGGAATTGTTCCTGGTTCCTCGGGATTTCGAAATCCTGAGCCCTCTCTTCTCGCGCCCCAAATGATGCGCAGCCGTCAAGACTGAACAGTTCGAATGAGTTACACCCGGAGCGGTCTCCATTGGCTCTCTCTTCTCTAATTTTTCGAGGGAGGTTATATTAGAGGGGAGCAGCTAAAATCAGGGTGGGCCTGGTTACGAACGGAACATTTCGGAATAAGGGATTTCAAGATATTGGGATTGGCAGAAGCGAGCTTGCTACTCTGATTCCGTCACGCCAGTTTAGCCCAGTTGACTAAGAAGCGAAAGCTGACTCCTGAAACGTCTCTCCTAGCCAGGACGACTGTCCTGCCTCACATTGGGGTATCTGTGGCGATTCATGTATGCGCATCATAGATTCTATTTCGCCGCAATAAAATTCCCTACCTCGTGGATGCTTTCGTCCGAGGACGACCTGGATGACAGCTAAGATTACTCAGAGTTTTCTCACTGGGTTCGCGTCTGCTGACTCCGAGTCCTCTCGGTGTAGCGACTTCACCTCAATAGGCAGATTTCCAGCACTAGATTCTGATTTGGTTCTCTCCGCCGTTAATGACTCGGGAGTTTGCTCAGATTGTCACTTGTTCCTTCTGCGTTCGAATAATAGAGTTTCCGCTAATCTGCTAAGCACACCTGTCACTTGAATCCGCTCGAGTGAGGAGGGGAACAGTTTTGTCCTTTACAGCCAAGGCTCATGGAATCAAATTCCGGGTAGGTCCGAACTTCATTTGGTTCACGATAGTCCCTCACAGGAAAGGTGAGGAGCCCTTGAATGATTATTCGCTACACCTTTACGTTCGATAGAATCTCACACTTGTCTCTCCTGTCGGTGGTTCCAAAGGTTCTGAGCTTGGTCTCAACGGAGTCTCATTCGGTACAGACATGAAGAGACCTCAGCCCAAGATTCCGCGACGTCGACCGAGAGCTCCGCAAACTCTAGTGCCGCCCCGCTGGCGCCGGTTTGGAGGTCTCGGTCAAGTTCAAGTTGGCCTCGGGTAAACGCTGGGCTATGAAACTCATTTGGACGACCACGCAAGCCCCAACGATTGTATAGTTCTGAGGGAGCGAATTCCGAAATTTTCGGCTGACACTCCGGAAAATCAGGATAGTTGCGACACCCTGGGGTAACAATACTTGGCAGAGTTTGGGACGCAGTATTCCTCGAAGTGTCCGCCAAGTAATCAGATCGCCGCACGCTTCAACGACTTTAGTCTCCATCGAAGTCTTGGTAGTGGTGCGCCGGCTGAACAGTGGTTGTCTGATGGTATCGTTTTCTGTTTGCGTAATCGTTCCCTTCGTAATTCAACTGGGATGAAGTGAATTGGCCCCCGGGATGCGGAGGAGACACAACCACCTGCTCTTGAGAAATCGCTTGCCGTCTGAAATTTATAGATCAATGATTTCATATCCTCCAAGCGTGAGTTTGGGAAACGAACGAGTTTAGGAAGGGAATGGAGGAGCTCCTCGATAGGACGGCGTGGGAGGGGAAGCTTTATTTAATTCGAACTGAGCTCACCCGATACATTTGAAGAACGAATTCTTCGCCGCTGAATGGAGGCTCCATTCCGATATACCGCTGTGACTCTGGGGCTTGTTTTTGTTTATGTAAACGTACAATATGGCAATAGCAGCGATCGAGAGACTGGAATACCGCCATTCCACTAGGAACATAATCGTCACCTTGAGTACCGCCTGGGAAAGTTGGCAAATCGTCAATGAGATGATTCGGCTCCTGGCAGGCTGGGAGGTCTGTGAACTCGATAGGAACCGAGATTGCTCGGTTTCGATCTCAGAGAATGCACTCACCCCTAAAAGCGCGACCCATTTGTTGAAGAGACGGAAATACCACGTGTCAGGCTTCCTCGCCACTTCTGTTAGAGGGATCCGAGCGACTGTAATTCGTATAAATTAAATTTGGCTTTAAATGACGGCGACTCTTCCCTGCCGGCTGCGATCGATCCCGAGCGTTGAATAGGAAAAGGGTTCGAGCTGAAGGTCCACGATGGGGAAATCAACCATGGGCACCTCTTCGCTCGTTCTATATGGGGATACTAGCATGAGTCCCATAAGTCTATCTTCTGGCTGACATGGGTCTTATGAGCTCCAGATCTGACTCTAGAAGGATATCGCTCCATAAATACGCCCGCATGATCATAACCACGACCAGGCGGGGACCGTAAATAATTTATAGCAATTCTCCGTTGAAGCGATCGTCGTAGTACTCCGCCAGAGCGCGAATGACTGACTATGGAGATGGATCTCGTCCGGTTGGGAGCCTCAAGAGAAATAGGAAGATGGAGTTTCATTCCTTGCCCTCTGAGATTGATCAGCGTCGACTTTGACGAGAGACCATGAATTCTAGATTATCAAGAGTACGAGTATCCAGCAGACTTATGACCTCGTCTTTGATCTGCGAGCAAGACCCCTATCGGAGTCCCGCGCCTCATATGCCCCTGAATAGTCAGCTCCCCGCATAATTTAATTGAAGCAATAATTATCATCCGTGTATCTCACCCTTGGTTTCTTGTCTGATTAGAGCCGAGGCCTCATCTTGAGCCGAACGGAGTGAGGAATGTCCCGGGGACGTCAAAGGAGATGACGAGCTCGATGAAGCTCTCGATCTAGTACGCACGACGGTGACCCGCTCTGGGAAAAGTCGCTCCAAGTCTCCTCCTTGTGGAGCAGTCTGGGAATGCAGAAACATGCTGAGTTTCTCGAGCCATGCGATATCTATCTACATATCCATCGCTCTACCGAGCAGGACAGGGGAAACGTACGACCAACCCAGAACAGCTCTCACTTCCCAATGGAGAATGCGTCACGGGGAGTTTCCGGAAAATTCATGAACGTTCTCGGTGCACGGGCGATTGGTTCATGGAGATAATAAGCGCTCTGGTCGGATAGCCGCTTTTCCAACGACTTCCAGTTGGTTCGAAGCAATTGGCCGCGAATCGAAAGACATGCGAACACTTTCTAATATTGAGTTCCGCTTGGAGTTAGTGATTCTGAACACTTGTGAAGGCACAGCCGGCGGTGCTCCCCCAGGACAGGTTCTCTGAGGCCCGAAGCCTTGACCCGCCCACGCGCTCGTGCGCCTGTCTCCTCACCCTTTTTCATAAGGTCAACTCACACAGCGGCTTACCGTTTCAGCTTGCGGAGCTCCGTATTGATGAGTGGGGCTTCCGGTCATTGGCGTGGCTACCTCGGCTGCATATTGTCGGTTCGATGGAACCACGGGATGCTGGTCGAACTTTTCCCGTCGCTCCTTCTGAAATATTGAATGACTGGGTTCAGGATCCAATCCACGGCGTACTCTTCAGAAACCCGACCCTCCCAATTCGTATACGACCTAAGTCGGCGGTCGATTAGTATTCGTTGCCCGCTCGGATGATTTAATCTCGCGATAGATTGGGACAAGTCTGCCGCTTCATTGTGTTCAGGGAGCATTCATGAAGATTCGTTCTTGTGCTCCATGTAATCTGCGGTTAGCCCAGGGAGAAAATGTCTCCTCCAATAGCGTCTGACTGAGCCAGATCAGCATAATGGACTAGGGCCATAAAGCTCTCCCTTGTCGTGCGGGCCGCCGTTGTTAGGATGCCTTTATATGAAGCCAAGAGACCTGCATGGCTTCAGTCAGTGTAGCGACGGAGCGTGCCTCGGGATTGCGCGTTTTTGGGAGGATTCTTTAATTACGTTAAATTGTTGACTTCGCGGCTGACTGAGCGCTATATAGAGCTGCCGAGACTCTCGTGATGGCCGACGCGCTCCGCGCTCGACGTTCGCCTCCTCGGAGCAGGTATTATCGGAGAAAGAATCTCCGAGTAATAATCAAGGCTAGAAAAGATACGCACCTGAATTTTGTACGTGACCGCCATATTGAAGTATGCGTACTCGACTGATGCATACGTGATGAGGAAGGGAATGGTGACTATGGGAGCCAGTTGATTGAAGTTTCCCGCCAGAACGAAAGCTAGTGTCACCGCCGAAAATAGAAGCATCGCCGACACGGGCACTTTGTTCGGTCCCTTCTGCAAAATCGACAGCATCATTAGGGTCTGCATTCATGACGCTCACAGTGATGAGGATGAATGCTCTGCTGTCGAGCGATTTACCCCTTCCGAGAGAAACGGCGATCCCGGAAGAATTCCATCGATGGCCATTCGTTGAAGAATTCTCGGAGTTGCATAGAGGGAACCGAGACTAGACGACATCGACGATATGTAGAGCCCGGTCAGGAGTAAAAAACTTACGGCCGAAACCTGCGGTGGAAGATGCGGACACCGAATGTTGAGGAGAGCGTTTCCTGGGTCGGACGGCCCATCGCTTCCGGATTGAGGAATTACTCGACCCGGCAATCGCGAAGTTTGAGGGAAGTACTCACCTTCTCTGCTATCATGTAGTCGTTTTGGAGCGCCCATCTCTCACAAGTAGCACCGAGGCCGAGAATAAATGCCACATAGATGAGAACACTGGTGCCGATCGCGCTGAACGTCCCTGTCGGGATGTTTTTCGCTGGTTGCAGGAGATCTGAGCTCATATTGATCCCTGCGCAGACTCCCGTCATCGCCGGGAAGAAAAGCCCGAAAATTGTGAACCAGTTCTGTCCGTCCATGTAAGAGGCGTTCAGGTTGTTGACGAAAACCGTCGCGTTCAAACCAGTCACGCCGGATTCTGCGAAGGGATCCTAGCATGATTTCGGTCGCGTGGGGATACATTCGACACGAACGGAAGGAGGACTAAGGGACGCGGGTGAAATTAAGTTAAGAAAGAAGCTGAGAACGATCATTGGAGAACTTTTTCTCGTCCTTGCCTGGAGCTTTCTTGACGAAGATCCCGACGCCGAAGTCCGATAAGGCCAACAGTAGAACAACAAGGAGAACGAATTGGATCCGAACGACCCATTTGACTCCAGCGAGATTGATTCCTTGGGGAAAGGAGAAGAGATAATACATTGGAGTCTTAGTCTCATCCGAATTAGCGGGAGACAATGGGCTTATCCTCATTGATCCGTTCAATGATTCTGTCGTGTTCTCTCTGTTTGTAGTCCGGCCCCGCCAGGAGCCGCTCAATGTTTTCGCACGTACAATACGAAGGCATGTGCTAGGAGCCCCGATACGACTTGATTGACCGGAAAAATCTAATTGTCGCAGAAGCTCAGAAGATGCAGCCGCCACATTGAATATTCCTGCGCTTTCATGGGACGATTCACGCCGCTGCGCTGGCTGCCCTGACATTCCGCTGGTGAATATTCAGCCTTTCACAGAAATCTCATCATGCTGATACTGTTTACATATCGGTTGCGTCCATTACTGATAAAACTACCGAGAACTTACCCAGGACACACATGAGGGAGACGACAGCGATTGCTTTCTGAATGTAATCGTCTTTGAAGTTGAGTAGTAGTCCCATCGATTCCGCAAACGCCATTAAATGCAGAGCACAACTCACGGCCTGAAACGAGGAGCAAAATCGGAAAATCCCTCCCATCATGCTGCACATCTGGATTCCCTCGAGCCTAGGGGCTCGTCGACATGGGGAAACGATCCCCTAGACTTCCACTTTGCACCACCGTAAAGTCCTCAGAAATTCATTGAGTTCCCAGATTATCTTCTGCTGCGGTCGACACATTCGTGGAACTTCTTGATGTAGTGCATTGGGAGCGGGGACCTCCGCCTCCGCACAAACATTCTCCCCAGAGTTGGCTCGTTCCAGCTTCCGGCCACCGAGTAAGCTCTTACGGGCCGCGAACTCATATGGGTCGCGTTATCCAGAGTGACGCATTCGAGGCGACCTTCTGAATCTGGTCCGTTCTCGTCGCAAAGCCTCCGCGGCCCCTCGCGGCGCCTCTCGCACCAGGGAACTCTCGCGGGAAGCTGAACATGGGAGCTGAGAATTCGATCTCATAGGATGACTGTGTCATGACCTCAACTGCGGCGACAGACAGGGATTGGAACCCCGAATAGCACCGATCTCTACACAGAATTTCGCACAGCTTCCAATGACGGTCTCGACGTTGAGCTCCTTATTATCCTTATCATCACCTTTATGACAACTTAACCTGACCGATTGGACGTAGCGACTCTCAAAAATGTTTGCGACGACCACGCTGACGTGGTACATTACGAAATCTCACTGCTGTCAATTCGACAAGCGACTTTCTCATCTTGGTCGGCCTCGTTTTCAGGCTACAGCCGAAGCTTGTCCCTCCGACTATACTTAGTGGAAGTTCCGTGCTCAGCGCAGAGGCGCCAAATGTGAGCGAGGTCACTCGCGCTGAGATCGGGAGCAGACAGGGAAAGTACTGAAGCCAATACCTTGCTTGAGAAGACCGCAACGCGAGTCAGGGTCGTAGCCGCCCCCTCCCCCAGCAGGGATGATTGCGCATATTCCAAGCTATTCTGGCAGTATATCGGTGGAGAGACGATGAATGAATATCCGTCGAGTTGAATCCGGCATTTCATATCTAAGGCTCCTAAGAATCTCCACTTCTCCAATTGCTCCTCTACCTTGATTACTGCCTCATACCAGGCCAGCCAGAGAATGCCGACGGATGCCAGCGTATCAATCGAACGAGGAGAAGTCAGCTTTCCGTTCGGCACCCTAGATTCTCCGGTACTGAGCGGAGTGTTCTTTTATCAGCGTGATTTTTCGCTACGTGTTTATATTTTTACAAATATTTTCCCGGAGGGAACTTCAACTCGCAGTTTCGAATGAAACGCCCTCGGAATTGGAAAATTGAAAGTTGATCCCGCTCGGGGGCAGACTGTCTGAGGCTCGAGCTGGTGGCTAACAATTACCACTATGGAGTCAGCAGACTCCGATCTCAGATCCTACGCTCTGGGGTAAACAGTCACGGTACTCTATGTGGCCTTGGACAGCTTTCAACGAATTCTGCCGGAAAGGGCTTTCGAGTATGACGCCCCCCAACAAGAGGTGATCGGCACCCTCGACACCACTCGATGCTTCCCAGTTTTTCCGAAGCAGGGAAGGACTCAGGTACTCGGTCGGCATCTTTCGGCGAATCGACATGTTGATCGCTCCGTCAGAGCGGGAGGTTCCAGCTGGTTGAGGCAAACAACCTAACTTTAAGTTGTCCCACGAGGAAATCGCCAGGGAGCAGAATCATCGGATTGATAAGGCTCGACGCGATATCATGGCGCTCATCCGGGGAAGCTCGGAGCATCTCATAGAATTTGAGACTCGTTGCGTCGCATGCATCTCGAGTATCTCCGAATGAGAATAGACGAATGTCCCTGTCCCTCGTGTCCGAATGTAGGATCCAGAGAGGCTATTTTTCAATCATAAGCAACCAAGAGCCGATCCGAGAAATAGGGCGAGACCGCGTTGAGAGAGGTTCAGAACAGCTCAAAGGGAGTTCCGGCTCAAATTCTCAGGAGGAAAAGTAGTTCTAGTGACCTTCAGGTCTCCCGACACGATTGAGTCTGCGAATCAGAATCTGCTCTTTATCCGACGGCTGTTTTCCGCGACTAAGCTCCGTACCGGCTTTCTGCTCTCGCGATGATTGTGAGAAATGTTAACAAAGGAGCCAGAGGCGCTGCGGCCCTCGTTGCGCTTCCAACCTCAATCCCCTCTCTCCACGGCGCATTCTTCACCCGAGCTCATTCAAACAGGTTCCCTGATCTTCACAAAGCTTCCTCCGCCTGCGTCAGAGTTTCAAGCCTCCCGGAGCCCAAAGGATACGACTCGCTCCGCATCCAAGCCTGCCAAACAACGTGAAGTCGATGCTCGATAATGATGAACAAAAACCATGTCCTTTCACAGTAACGGAAATCATTAGAACGAAGTCTTTGAGGTATACATATGACTTGGACATCCGGCCGATGCGAAATGATCGTTCCGCAGCGATTCCGGTGAGATTTATATTTCTCCCAGAATCTCCCAGCAAAAATATATCCAGTCGGAGCAACCAAATCTTCATGCATCGTAATGAAGAAGCTACATAGGTATACACATACCTGGCCGAAACAATACACAACAGACACGGCGCCCCCGAGTCGAGCGCCGAGAATGTGACTCAAAATGTCGTGAACTCCTCCAGTGTCGATGTGGCATCTCTGAGTGATCCCAACTCCAGCTACCAGAGCGATGCAGCAAACCATGGCAGTTATTCCCACGATCAGCAGCGATTGCTCAATGCCGGCATTTCCCTGTGGGAGCTCGAATATTTGTACTGATCCTCATGTCTGCAGATCCTCGTTCTTGCCTTCGATTATTTTTACCGGAAATTTAAGAAACTCAAACTCACAACAATCCATCCTGCCCTGAGAAAAACAATAGCTCCCACTAAGTGAATCAGACAGGTGGTGAATACTCCATCCCATGTGCCGAAGAATATGGGTTGGGTCGGGAACAGATTGGCGAGCCACCACGCATGATCCTTCGCTTCTCCCTGGAAAAGATGTCCGGCATGAATTCTCACCAATCACGAGGCTCACCGTCCCAGTCTTCCCGCGTCTGCGCATAACAATCCGCTGATTCTTCGATCCATTCTCCCAATATTCGATGCAGCATGGCTCTGCCGCCCGGATGCGGAGGAGCGTATCCACATTGATCTGTGGTATAGACACCTTTCTCCGGCACGGCGAGTATCGGGCGCATAGGTGAGCTACTCCCGACCTTCTCTTTGTTCAAGCCGCATCGCGTCCCCCCTTCACGTGGACTCTCCGCTCGGTCAGTGAGCGTCCACTGAGGATGACAGACAGATGACGATCGAATATTGAGACTAGTCGATTCTAGGTACTCACGTTTTCTTCGTTGAATAGCTCGTTGTGTCCGGGTATGTCGGGCTCCAAGACTTTCTTGGCGACGTCCCCTTGGACAGCGGGAGCCGTATTGTCGGCTTCGACCGCTTGGTAGCCCCCGCTCGTTGAAGTTCCTGCCATGGCCAGTCCGACGCGACAACGCCGTCAGTTCCAGACTTTGATGCGGACTTTGGACATCGGAATTCAATAGTTATTGGTCGGTCGTCCTTCCAACGAGCAATTATCCTCGAACATGACTCTTATTAGAATTACTTCTAGTATTTCTGCTCTTATTAGAGACCCTGTCGGAGCGATGGGTTAGGCTATTGCTCATGGAGAGCCTCACGTTCTGGCGAGCCGAGGGACCCGCTACAGTGTCCATTGAGAATTTCGTTCGTTCCCCAGGCAGAATTTCTGCTCTTCGAAGACCACTCGTGCCTTCGACGTTCGGGCGTCTGAGGTCGATGAGAGCGGAGCTCCCGAGTGAGCTAGGCTCATGGAAGATCTCCCGATCTCCAACATTCGGAAGTCACCGAGATCTCGTAACCTATTCATCGTCACACGAATCGACCCACTACCAATTTCCTAGGGGTCGGCTCGGATTTTCATGGCATGAGAATCTGTCTTCGACCCAGAGAAAATCTGCCTCGACTTCAACGGAACACTCTGAATTATCAGATCACATCTTCCGTAGAGGTCTGAGATTGAAGGGAGATCCGTCACGGAGGAGAGAGCAATCCCACTCGACTCCGAGATTGGCTTCCGAGTGTAAACAGGGATAAAACTTCCCTCTCCGCCAGGTCCCCCGGCTCCGGGAAAAACCTACGAGCTCGCGGATGGAAACTTCCAGCGAATCTGCCATAGGACAATGTATTCTCGGAAATGCACCTCGTTTCCGGCCTTTCTTGAGATGACGCACTCAAAGTCGACTACGATAAATTATTATTCTACCCGGAAAGAATAGCCATCAGATTCGCAGCTGGAAACCATCTACCGCGGGATGTGGCAGCTGCGGTGTGCTGAGACTTCCCACGCCAAGCACCAGCTGTTATATGAGGAACGGCGGAATCGTTATTGGGGCTGTAGACGATTAGTACTCGCAAAACAGGCCAGTACCATACTCTTTCCTTTAACTAACCGCAGTCTCATATCAACTCGTCCCACACAGAGTCCCTCGACCATCGGATTGATTACCACATCGACGACGGTTCCCCCGGAATCGTTTATCCACTGGAACTCGTGGATGGGTCTTTCGATCCCTCTCCGTGAGATGTACTCATGGGAACAGGTCGAGACTTCAACTCCAGCCGCACAGAGCCCAGAGCCTTCAAGTGCTCAACCCACTCAGCCTGGGTCTTTAATCTCATATCATGAATACAGAGTGGTGCATACGACAATGATCGCGGCTGGAATCCGGTGAAATTGGCTCTGATGAAGGACGTTCATGTGAGTGAGTAGTACTAGGAGAAAAGACAAAACTGCTCAACAGGGAATTGAATCCCTCCCTTCTCCGTGCGGAGAGTTTGAACTTTCCAGGCTTCGATTTCTCTTTGGGATGAAATTCTGCAATGAAATCCGATCTCGGACTGGGACGAAGAGCAGGTCCGTGTCGGGCGCCAAACTATATTCGAATGAGGATCCGATCATTTTGCTTCGGAAGATTCAGATCTCGTGCATGATTCGCTCTTAATCCATGATGAATATCGAAATCGAAACGATTGCGACGCTCGAGCTTCGTCACAGAGCAGAATTCCAGGGATGGGAGAGTCTTCAGCTCGAATTTAACGATTCCATATGTTTCTCATTAGGCGGGCTCGCTCCGGTCCGAGCAGACTCGGGAAGCTCTTCCGAGTGCTGCTTAGAGTTTGAATGAGGAACTCTCGTCCGAAGCCACACTTCACCCTCGTCAAGCATAATCTCGTCGCTTAGAGAGAGATTGGAATGCGCCATTAGTTTTAGTCCTACGCGCCCAATCTCCGGAGGACGGGGACTTCATAGCCTCCGAGAGCGGAAATATAAGTCAAAACTCGTTCCGCGTGAGCTCCGAGGATGTCTGGCTTCGCAAAATTTACAGACAGGTTTCTTCGGGTATCCAGAGGTTGCGAGATCTAAGCCAGGCTCGGAGTCCTGCCATCATTGATTGCATCGACAAGCAACAGCTGGGGTCTTCGATCGCTGAATTACAATATGCCTATTATTCTCGTGTCCGCCCTCTGAGGGAGCTCAGAGCCGTCACAGAGATTTAGCGGGAGCCTACGGCCCGCGTCGCCGAACTCTTAGCACATCGCTGTTCGATTCGTCCTTCCCTAAAGCTACAACCTGTGGCGCCATATGGTCACACATGCTTGTCGAGTATGGTGAGCCTCGAGGCGGCGGAGGCTTCACGGGGACCGCAATCGACTTCTCCTCACAGGGACCGCACAGCGAATCGGGGATGAAGACGCGTAATATTGAGAAAACATCTGGAATTGAACCTGACCGTCTCCGACGTCGGACTCACCTTCCCAAAGCGTTCTTCAATGCGTTTCCGCGATGTGTGCCCGACCCATCGCGCGGAGCTGAAGTCGACCAGGAACCGTGAATTCCAGGCTTGTCTTTCAAAACTCTTGGTAAATGTCAAATGATTCTCTCCGAGAGCTCGAACGTCGGTGTCGTGCTCGCTATTCCAATGCTACAGTTTCCAATGTGTATAAACCGTCGTGCAGCGCCCCCAACCGGATACGGGGGAAAATCAAGAGGAGGAGAGATCGAGGGCAAGGGACGCGCCATATGGAAGAAAGGAAGGGCTCCAGAGTGTAGCTTCGGTCCAAAAGACCATATGTGATCTAATTTAAGGCGAATGGAACTTTCGAAACTCATCCCGGAATTATCTCCTTGAGCGAGCCTGTCGTCATCTGCGCTGAATCGACTTCCCACTCGAATTCTCCATCATTCCCTCAAATAAGTCGTTGAATGTCGAATGGAAGGCTTCGTGAGCTTGAAGGCCGTTCCTGAAAAACGCCCCTCGGATCGGGAGGAGAAGTCTCTCGCCACGAACATTCCGACTGGGAATAATAAGAAGGGTCAAGTTGAGAAACCTTCATTCTTTCTCTCATTCCGAAATGCACAATATATTTTACAGTATGTACAAGGTCATTTCTCAACACATCGTCTTTTCTCGACTTCCTCTGGGAATTTTCTTCTGTCCAAACGACTTTTTCCCTCGACCTCTCTTCTGCATTCCACGTCCTCTGCCAGGATGTTTATCGGCTTTACGCTGCATGAAACGCTCCTTGTTACAGATCTGTCGAGCCCGTGCACCGGTCTCCGATGAATCGTAATTGGCGTAGGACCATAGAGCTTTGTTACAGAACTCCTGGACGTCCTTCCTATCGGTGTTCCTGAGTCGAGTTCGGAGATCGACAAGAGATTCGACGGTGGCCTCAAAGGGAATGCTCTCCGTTTTCGAATTCGCGAATTTTGTCCAAACTTTCCCTGCGAGACGAAGTATACAACAATTAGAATCCGCTTCAATAGTCGCCGGCGACTGTACCCACTCTCGCATGATAAAGCTCAATAAATCTTACCACAGAGCTGTAATAAGGAATTGACGTCCCTGTCCGGGAGATCGACTTGCTGAAGCAATTTCGGGACATATTCCTCAAGAATTTTCTTCGCTACTCCGACGTCGCCCAGGAGCAGGAACATGATTTCGAGCGACTGCAGAGTCAGTCTCGATAGGAACTTGGTTTTGCTCTCCTTGGAAAATATGACGGGAGCGAAGCGTTCTATTGCTTCAGTTAGTGAATGCCCTTCTTGGATCAATGGAGTCCAGCCCGCCTGCACAGCCATTGCACGGGCTGTCTGCAAGTCATCGAGCGGAACCGTCGAGGTGTGATGAAACAAGACGTATCGAACTACGAATCCGAAGGGAGCTGGAAACGTGCAACGGAGCGTTCAGTACGCGCCGAAATACGATGAAAACGTATTCGCCCGTAAGGTGAGACAGAGGAGAACAAAGCCGACACAATACTCACAATCAACTTTGATGCCTTCGAGGCTCTGCGGCCAGCCAGCGAGCATGCAGCCGATATGATAAGCCGCTTCGCAGCTGTGATCCGCCATCGAATAATAAATTTCATCGATCAACTGGAGGAATTCACCCTGTATCTCCGATGCGATATAAGAAATCACTTTCAAAAGACTAGAGAGCTCGATAATGGATTTCTTCGAACGGTCTGGCGACATGAGGTAGCCTCGGATGAAGTTTATACACTGAAAGTGGGAATCCTTCAGATTATGTTGGGTCTCAGAAGCTGGCTTGTCTGCTTCTGAAGCTAGATGAGTAGATCTGCGTCGGGAGCCTCAAGTTCGAGGTAGAAAACGGAAATCCGACTCGATGAGTCGCCCGTATGCTTTCGATTATTTTTCTCGAATCTTGGAGTACTCACGTTGAATCCGATACAATGCTTCGTCTTCCCCTCGTACTTCTTAAGCTGAGGTACGTATTTGAGGAAAAACGTCACCAAGTTCCGCTCAGTCTCCGTAATCTGGGACTGGGTTTGTACTTGAAGCTTTTCGTTGATGTCCAGCAGAACATAAACGAAGCTGACATAAAGCTTTCTCAGGTGTTCCAAATCGACCAATTGGGCCAACGCTTCCTCCATCGTAATTTGGAGCACAGCAACCTTCCTCAGCGTTTCCTCGATCGAGGTGAAGCGACCGTGCTTTTGTTTGAAATAGCCGACTATTGTTTGCATAGTATCACGTTTCGAGTCGGTCTGTTCCCCGTCAATTGGTTTCGCCTCTTTGGATACGATGACGTCATCGTAGCCGAACAATTTGCCTGTTTCGTAGACCTCGTTTTCAGGAATGTACGAATCTTTCAACAGACTGACGATCCCGTTCCTAGTGGTCATCCGACCCGCACGAGCTGGAGTTCTCACGTTACCTTCCGCTTGTTTCGGCGGAGCGCTCTCCGGGCCACCGAGCAGAGGAGGTAATGCCTCGTCGACTTTGGCGGATGATCGGAGGGAGCTCCTCGTGTACGGTCGATCAATCAATGGGCAGGTCGTGGGGGAATTAGGGATCATCTTCGACTTGCGCCTGGTGAGCATCGGGGAACTCTCGGAAGATGAGGGAGACGCCGGCGGTGAGATCAAATTTTGATTCGATTTGGCCTCCAGCCTGGTGTCGCGGATATCCGAGAGGATGTCCTCGATGAATTCCATGGGTATCCGTTTGGTTGCGCTCCTGTCAGCCGGCGAAAGTGTCTCGGGACTCAACGGGGTTTCCGGATGCTCGTCCTCGTAATCAATGAACATCGGAGTTTCTTCGTCTTCTGAATCGCTCTGCCCTCGGTCGCGATCAGCCGCAGCGAGCCGCTCACCGTCCCACGACCGCAACTCCCAAGTGGGCGGTGATTCCGAGCTACATTCTATTATTTCGACTTTGGCTTCTTCCCGTGTCCGCTCTAATTGGACTTGTGAGCTCTCCTGCGGCTCGACTTCTTCCTTCTGTACCACTCTCTCTGAGCAGTCGCCGATCACGCTTCCGAACGGTGTCTGCTCTGCGAGTTCGGAATCAGCTGGAATTGGATAGGCCGGCGGACCGGCAGCTGATTCCTCCGCGTCGGATTCCATCAGAGCCGGCTTTTCTGAATCCAAGGGAAGCTTTCCGCCTTCCGCTGAATCGCCCAGTTGTGGCGCAGCTTGAATTCTGCGTTGCAGCATAGTCTCTTTAGCCTCCAGAAATTTGGCATCGATCGATTTCTTGAGCACATTTCTCTGAAACTCCTTCACGAGAGGTTCGCTCTTCTTCCGTTTCGACAACCGTTTCAGACGATAATCGTTCCTCAGCCTGGAAGGTAAAAAACGGGAGGGCTCCGTCATGTCAATCCTTTCAACCGTTCGGAACTCCTCATATCCATCCTTATCGTAGTCATTTTCGTTTAGATCGCGAAGTTTCAACCCCAAGTTTAGAACCCGGTAGAGGTTCGGAACGCACAGTGGAGGGACTTTCGCGCTAGCGGGAGCGACAGGGCTTCCGGTTTGACTTCCATGGCTCGGTGACCCGTCTTCCGGTTTCGATCTCAATGCTGGAGAAACTGGACTTTGGATCTCTCTGTGATGCGACTCGACACGGCGCACCAGGTGGTTGTCCGATAATACTGGTTCGCTCTTGTCTGCGATGACCTCCCTTTCGCTCGAGATACTTCGATGGGATCGTGGTTTAGGAACTTTATCGCGTCGAGGAACTCCAGGTTCGTACGACGTCGGAGCTTCGAAGAATTCTTCGGGAGCTCTCGGTGTTTCCGGGGGTACCGGGAAGCCGAAAGATGTCCTGTAAAACGTGTTCGAGAGAAGGGAGATTATTCACCGAGAAGAATTGTCGGTGATCCGAATTACAGAGTTTTTCACGAGAAACAAACAACGACTTACCGCCGAGAGACGTCTCCGATGGCTGTACTGGACAGCAAAGCTCTCGAGTCCTGTATAGAGTCGCTCTGTCCGATCCCAGACCCCACGTTCTGATCCGAGCACGACAGTCTCACATGCTTTGTGACCTGATCGAATTCCAACGAAAGTTTCGAGGTCCCGCTCGAGGGCATTTGGAAACTGAATGTCGTCATGCTGGAAACATAATGGGTTCATGATGAGTTGGGGCGTCGAATACTACGTCCCGCAAATCTGGGAATCACTGATGCTTCACCCGATTGAGTCTCACCCCAGGTTAGGGCTGTGCGTGACTTCTGCCTTCAGACAGCTCGGCTCCGGCACCCTGCTGAAAAGCGGGGACGAGGACGTACTATCGCGAGGGGCTGCGAATAAAGGCTCGAAACCGCTCGAGTTTTGATGAATCAGCTGTTTTCTCGGGTGGTCTGATTTGTCTTTCTTCTTTTTCTTCTTCCGACGCATCGGTACGGGGCTCGGAGGCATCGGCGACACGGCGAGGAGTCTCTCGTTGGGCTTTCCGAAAGGGTTGCACATTTCCGCCAGAATCATCTCGACCTCTTCCATCATTCTGAGGAAATATAAATAGGGTAGTTGAGTTCCGCGCGGCGGCGTCGGATCCCACATCAAAAGCATTCCGAAACAATCTGCGAGAGATTAGCTTACTTTGCATCGGAATCATCATCGGCCTCATCTTCTTGATCTCCGTCGCCGTTATCAGCTGACTCGGTCACCGCGGGCTCTGTCAGCATGAAAGTCTCGTCTTCTTTGAATGTCACGTGTTTTTCCGTTTTCCGGGGAAGCAGTGGGCATTCAGGGATCGGTGAAATCGAATCTTCACCGTCACTAACGAGAGGGATATTCGGAATGCATTCGAGGAGGGAGACGGGTTTCTTTCGAATCGTATCCGTCTCGTCGCTGTCTTTTCCAGTCGAGGACTCCACGAAAATTGAGCTGTCGTCGTGCTTCGTTTCGAGACTCTCGAAATCCTGTATAGGACGGTCTTGCGCAACGACAGTCGTCGGTGGGGTCGCAATGCCCCGATTCGTGTCTCGTATTTGATGTGCATCTGACATTCCTGCCGGGACTGCTCGATCCGGAGAGTCGGGATGAATGCCGCCCACTGCTAGCACCGGTTCTTCGCATTCAAGCACCGGCATGTCCAGCCTGGTTTCCGTCTGACACTCTCGACTGTGCATTGAAAGCGCGGAAGTTTGACACATTCGGTGCGTTCGCAGCGCGATTTCAGTTTGACAGCTAGACTCTACGCAAGTCGAATCTTTTTCGGCAGACTTTTTCTCTTCGACGGTATCTGGAAAATCAATATTCCGGTTAGCATGGTTTGGTCGAAGATCCTGAAATGCTCGCGACGGAGGCATAATATTGCGCTTCTAAGGCGGACGAGGAGTCTCCTGGATTCCTCTCTGAGTTGGAACCTTGTGGATATTCTCTCCGCCATTTTTCTAGCCAGTGAAGGTGCCTCGATCGTGTGTCGCGCGGACAAGATTACAGAAATGCAATCACAAGGATAACGGAGCTCGATGCGAACAAAACATAACCCGTAGCGATACCCCCACGGTAACATTCGACAAGGGGTAGGGACGGAGAGTATCGACCAACCTGTATCGTTTTGAAGGATCCGTTCCAGTTGCATGGCTTCCTGTTCCAAGGGATCCAAACTGACTCCCAGCGCTGCTTCCAGAATCTCGATCGAACGCAGAACCTCATCGTTTCCGAGTGCAGATTTTAGCCGAATCAGATTTTTCTGAAATTATGAGCGATATATCTATAATCGGATGACGGAGCTGCACGAGCTCTCCTTTGACTGAGAAAGTGCTCCAGTCTGTGTCGCAGTAAAAGGCAGTCAGGCAGTTATGCATATCGCTCGAACTGCGCAGGGATTCGATCATTTCAGAGCTCGGTTACGAAACGGAGTCTTCTGAGTGAACAGAATGAATCATACTCTAATCCAGATGAATAACCAGTCTCCCACGAAAGTCGGTAGGTAAGTACATATATTAAAAAAAAGCAGCGCTTCAAAAGCTCCGGCCCGAAGTCAAGGCTGTTCACGGACACAGAACAAAAATAGAAAGCGAACAGAGACAAGAATTCGTCGAAGATAGGCACACTAGTCGCACTTGAACCCGTTAGCCCACGAGAGAGCGGGCAGCACGTCAGGGCCGGGCTGAAACATTAGAGCGAAGCCAGACCTTTCGAATAGCCTGGGCATACGAATGAGCAAAAAATATCGAGAGGTATCAGATGCGACCTGTCACTTATTCTATCCCACAGCTGTTCAATGCAACCTCCCCTCGATCCCGCTCCGATACGAGATCTACATCGAATTGTATCCACACGCAGGGTCGAAATCGGGAATCGAAAAATGGCGATAGTCAACCAGCGCCTGAGTCGCCACTGAGTCACGCCGAGAAGATGAATCACGAGACCCTTCTTCTCGCGGGAACCTTTTTGAGATTACCCTGAGGGTCTTCTTTAAAAAGGAATTCCCGAGACAACCGTGAAATGATGGCTCAAGAGAATTGTTCCTCAAGAGAGCCCGTGGGACGTACTGGGGAGACTACTGTACAATCGAAAGATGTAACGCCGTAAGCTTCCGCCGATTCTGGGGAGAGAGATTAAGTTTCCAGTATTCTGGCTGAACTTACCATGGCTCGCGTGCTCTGTCGTTTCTGCGTGTTGTGACGTCTGACTGAAAGTGAGAAGGAACACTTGTCAATCAAAACTTCGTCTCGGGAGAACTGCCTCTGAGCATTCTTCCCTTCTCTCATCCGGAGGATGCGTGGAATCATCTCCACGGTTATCGCGACGAGTCAAGTCGGATCGTCTGGCTTCGTGCCGAGATATAACCTCGGGGGTGACTCCGAACTACCCTGTCGAACCTAACAGAGACGTTCCGCGAAGCTTCCATATACGCAATGACATCATCTGAGTGTCCAAAACTTCGAGCCTCAGGCTACACAACCATTATTCTGCCGCTTATTGTACATTCGAATCATCGCGACATCGTCCAATTCCGCCGAGATAACCGTCGAGAACCCCTCAGAACCAGCGATGAGTAAATACGGATGGATGTCCAATGACCCCTCCGCGAATGAAGTCACCGCGAAGTGATCTACACGGAAGGCAACGGAAATATTTACCAGTACTAATCCTCGGCCGGAAGAGCTCCTGACGGGGATTCCATTTTGCAGCTACGAGTCACTCACTCCAACGATAGAGAGTCTCCAGGATGACTCTCGACCGGGAGTTCCGCCATCAAGCACCTGCTTCTCGGCATATTACGACGCTACGCTGCCCTCCGAAACCGATTCATCACGTATCCCAGATCAGAAAAGACTCATCGGGAACTCGGACGAGCCGCTATAGAACTCGCAGCCTCTGCGCTTTCCCGGAATCCCTTCTCTTCAGCATGAGAGAGAGGCGACACTTCGTGGACCATCGATTCCCTATCCTCAATCACGAACTCGAAAGAGAAAGTCTCGCTCCCACGGCTCCCAGAGTCATCCCGATGTCGATCGCATGGTCACCGGCTGAACGCGAGTAGTGGTGACTCGATGTGACCTCAAGAGGGAACTTGGTCAGCTGTGAGGTCAGTCCTGTAAATCTTTGTAGCCTTTGCTCAGCGATGGGGATTACTATGGCTCGTCCTCTCGAGCATCCGCCTTTGGGAAGCATTCGCAAGATGGCTGTAGCAGCTCGTATCCCCCGCAATTAGTGTATGACGAATGAAGAAGCGAAGCCGCAAGGACTCTCGATTGCTCAATTATTCGAGGAGGATTGAGAAACCTCATCGCTCGATACCCCGCCGCTACAATTCGAAAGAATATTAAATTCGTTCCCAGAAAACGCATTTCCCGCGTTTTGTTCCATTGCAGAATCGGCAAGACGGTATTAGGTCGATTCTTAAGAAGTCATCCTGTCCGGAGCATTCGTTCTCGTCACGCGCGTTCAAAAACATGAGAACGGGGGAACGAGTTCAAATTTTCCGGAAAAATCTTTGAAGTCCCTCTTTGGCCGATAACGGGAACGGCTCTTGGAAGGACGAGAGCCAACACGATCCGCATCTTCCTTTCATTGTAGTTCGCGCACCCTCGTTCATCTGACAGACTAGCCGACGGGCTGGTTGTAACCCAGTAACACCGTAAGCCGCCCGGTCGGCCCCCATAGCGAGCCATGCAGAAAGCACAGCGCGTCACGGAAGAACTTTCTCCGCTCGGAATGTTCCCTCGCCATTCGCGATATTCGCCAAAACAATCCGATGGCGGCACATTCAGCTCCAAATCACGGTTCGACCCACCACGCGCAGCGAACTCATGTCGATTGTGAACTATTGAAATGTGTACAAGCGTCGAGATGCGCTCGCGATCTCCGTCGAACGATCAGCTGAGAAGCGAATTTTCTACGACGCCGACGATCATGCCAACGAATGCGCTGCCGTGAAATCTGCCGCATGCGCACAATTCGGACGTTAGCGTTGAATAGTCAGCAGGTGTCGACAGAAGACCGGAATCATTATCGCTTATGCTGTGAAAAGGGGAACTGCTCGGCTTCGTGTGATGCAATCGGATTGAAGAGCCCATCGCTGTCTCCCGGTACGACGACAACCGCCAGAATATCTCGTCAGCCAGCCAGTCAGTCAGTCAGAGCAACGTCAGCTCGCATCAAAGTCTGCATCAGCTGAGCAATCAGAGAGAGTTGTTCAAGAGCATCGGGCAGCCATGCACGCATGCATCTCTCTCAAACGTCAGCGAGAGTCGACCCTAGTGTGTACTCGGTTATAAACGTGTCGAGCTTGTGGAAAGACAGTGTTGCCTCATCGTGCGTGCCCCGATTGTGTTCTCACCGGCGGCGTCAGTGAACGCAGAGCATCTGTGGCCCGCTTTGTCGGGCTTACTACATGCGAAACACTACGTCTGAAGAATCTCTCTCTTCCAACGGACCTAAAACCGGACAGCTTCGGGCTCAGAAGCGGCTCGCGGCAAAACCGTCATGGGCCAGATGGCGGCGACAATTCGATCGGTAGTGTGGAGCTGTCTCGTTGTGTGGACGCTCGGCAGGGCGGTTCCCGGCGACAATTCTTCCCCGAAACTAGTTGCGTCAACAACAATAACCAGTCCGCGAGCCTTCTCGGAGAGCCTAGGCATCACGACGAATTCCTCGACCCATTCTATTGAGAATTCACTCACTTCGGATATCGTTTCAATCAATGCACCGCCGTCTTCCGCGGAACAATGGAATGCAACAACTTCAGGGGAGACGAGACTCGTTGACGAGGAAATTCCGTCTCTAGAAAGCTCGACGGAGCAACTGTGCTCCCCCCCTATCTGTGATGCTCAGTCGGTTTTGGTGGTTACGGTGGACCCTGTGGGTAATGAGACTGGATATGTGTCGAGAGCGCTCGGATTACCGATTTTGCTTCAGTGCTCGCTGCTGACCCAGGGCCGTCATATCTCGCTCCCTATCGTTTGGCGATTGCCGAACGCCACCGAGATAGTTTCCCATCGATTGGATATAGCAAGCGTTGACATGAGTGATGCCGGAGAGTACACCTGCTCGCTGGCACCCCACGAATGCTGTTCCGGTGTCCAACCATACAAAGTCCATCTCAGTGTCTATGAACTTAGCGCGACAGCCGGTACATTCCTTATGCTCTTAGTTCTGACTTCTATAGCCATCCTGGTCATCGTTTTCCTCTATTCACAAAAGAAGAAGAGATACAATGATTGGCTCAAACACGAGATTCTTGCGGCGTCGAACAGCAGCGCGGATTCCACGCCGAGATCGACCCTGAACAGGGATATACATACGAATAGCAAAAAATACCTGCTTAACACCTAATTTAGGAGCTAGCGTAGTTTTTTCAAAAGATTCCCCCCGGGGAGCGCTGAGACGGTCTTATACTTGATGTTTGACAATAATTATTTTGAGAATTCAGATAATGTAGTAACAGGGGGGAGGGGGAAACCCGCGATAGATAGCGCGAGTTCGTGTTGGTCTCCAATGATGTTTGTTCGGGGATGTAAATTTGTGAATATGTGTAAATACAATAACAGAAGCCTCGTTAGAGGAATCCATGACGGATCTGTTTTCCTTTCTCCAACGCAACGCAGCGACGAAGGAAGATGATCTCTGTTAGAGTCGCGTAATCTACGTAGTTCCCTTTATGGCTCGCATTCCTCCAAAACTGTTTCAACGCGTTGGATTTCAAACGCCGAGCGATCAACGAATGCGTTCGGATAAACATTCGGGAGAGCGAATTTAATTGGGCTGAATAAGATGATTCGCACTCTCGCCTCTCGCTGACGGAGGTCTCGTCAATCCATGCACCCATGCTTCGCTTCGATGATGACATTTGGATGCGAAATTCATCTGCCCAGAACAGGTACGCTGAGCTCCGGAGGCCGCAGCGTTGCGAGGAAGTTTTTTCTCGCCCGAAATAGACCCTTTCACGAATACCTCACGCGCCAGTCACCTAGAGCAGTCTAACGCGAGAACAACGTCACTAGCTCTCGGAAGTTCAAGGTGTTCAGCCGGCGATTCGGTCGGCTCGTTTCCTCGCTTTCCCATCAGCTAACTCTCGCGAGCCATTGCTCTCGCAGTTTGTCTCACCGACTCATTGATGTTGCACCGGGGAGCTGGAGCCGACTCCCTGCGATATTTTCGAGCACGCTCCGCTAATGACCGCCACCGCATCTCGTATTCGGTACAGCCACGGCCACCGCAATTATCAGGAATGATGTCTCCACCGAGTCATTCCGACCAGGCACGCGGACAGGGCTGTGTTTCATTTTGAAACACAGACCCAGACCGATAATCCGATGCGCATCTGGGCGAGAAATTCTGTGATTTCGCCGCGAAAGACACTGATTCGTTTACCCGCTACCCTTATGGGTTGAATGACGCGACGAGGGTGATCTCGTCTCCGAAAAATCCGTCAACGGCTGGATGACTCATGTTATTGTTTCGCGCTCGAATACACAGTCGGAGCGGCGAAATTTCTCGGTCGCGTCCGATTACCGAGGAGCGTTTGTTCCGAGTCACCGAGAGAGTATTTTTTCCGAGTGACTCGGAGATTATACGAGGAAGTCCTGACGAACTATGCGTATGAGACAGCTCCATGTCGATTGGAGTCGGTAGAAGTAGGAAATATACAGGTTTCAGCGGACCCTCTCGAAACTGGAAAGACTTGGAGGCGTGCATTTCACGATGATTAATTTCGGAGTGCGAAGGGCATCGCTGCGGACTCACCTTTGCTTTGGAGCTGATCGATTTGGAGCTGCATCTGGGAGACCTTCGATTCCATCTCCGTCGATGCTTTTGGCGGTGCGTTCTGGGCGATTTCCAGCTGCACGCGGTAGGACTCGACTTCGATTCTCTTCGCGTTCAACTCGGTCTCGACCTCTGTTGCGCGCTGTGAAAATTGAAACGGTTTCGATGTGAGAATATTGACGCCTTGCTCGTTTTGGGAACACGGTCGGGGAAACGGGAATATGTTCATTAGGAGCTCGACGCAGCTCCGGATGCTCGGCGGAGAGTGATGATGTCCCAGATCCGAGTGGGCTCATCCTGGGATGGAACAAGGCTCTTCTGCATGATTCCTAGAGTCTTACAGTCGGAAATAAAGCGCAGCCAATGTCTCGACTAGAAGATTCTCAGAGAACGGAGAGCGCAAGAAGCTCAGGAATCGAAGTTATAGAGATGCCGAGAAATTTTAGAGAGGGAGGTGTCCGGAACAATCCGCGCACTACCGTAGTTTACTTTTTCTCCATCCAGAATTGCATTCCGTGAGCCTCGAGTCTTGCTTACCTTCTCGAGAGGATAGACCTTCTCCAGAGCTATTCGGTATTCATCTGATATTTTGCTGCATTCCTGACTGAGGAATTCATTCTGGCGCTTCAATTCGGCGACAATAGTCCTCGCGGACGAGGATGCTCTGCGTTCATGTATGAGGGAGCTGACCATTTCGCTGGAAACCAGAATAGAAGCGTACCATTGCAACTCTGTCTCAGTGGAGGAGGTGAGTCCGTCCCCAGGCTTCTCATCGTGGAAGACACCGTCTTCTTCCTCCAGCCGTCGACGACGAAAAGGCTCTTCTATCGCTCTCAGGATATACTCACTGCTGATTTTTTATCAGGTCATTGATGAGTTTCGCGCGCTGCAAAAATCAAAGCGAAATAAGGTGCCGGCTCCGTGGGCATAAACATGGGGGGTGCATGGCGGCTATCTGGAATCTTTACATAATTTGCCAGCTTTCCGCTCGTCGAAGGAGTTCAGATGGGACAGTGAAAGGGGGGAACGACGACGACTCCCCCCGAGCGTTGTCCAATGACAAGCGTGGAGTCATGACCCACTCTCCCGGGTGGTGATAGTATAGATCTCGAAGGTGTCTCGAGTCTTCAGATGAGATTCCTCTCGGGAAGAACTTTGCAGTGACATATCCTGAAGACTACTCACCTCAGATATCGAGGAGCAAGCGGAACAATTTGGCGGTTCCCCGGACATTTTCACTACGTTCTATCGCCTTGGATATCTGGCTATCACATGATATCACCACCGGGGGGATTCCAAGACCTCCCGATTTTTCGGTTCGTCTCGATTCTCGCGCAAATCAGATGATGCGATTGCGCACTAGATGGAGAACTGAATCCAGCGCGCGCTCGTATCCCATGCCGAAGCTGCGCCTGACGATCGGATTTTACGGCGAGTTCCGGAATCTTATTGACGCCCGTGAGAGAGACACACCGACCGCGAAGAGTTCCGTGCGGAACTGGTGGTCAGATACCATTAAGCTCATTGGACCTGTTCTGCATCAAGCCGCCGCGGTGAACTGCATACACGGGATTCGGCTCATGCAGTGGTGAGCTGTGCTCCCTGTACCTCGGTACGGGAAGTCGAGATAGGGTGCGACTAAGAGCTCGTTATGTCCACGTGAAATCGCGCGAGACTATCACGCGGGATATAAGTACGCGGAGAGGAATCGCTGAACGGAGCATTGAGAATAATGATGACTGTGATCTTTGCTGGGGTTATGAGCGGCACCGGGCCGCATGGTCGGGGTGATGCCAGTCTCTCAAGCCTCCCTGCGGAGGAAGCCGATCTGTGGTTGAAGAACGCGTCGCCGCGGCCCTTATATCGCCCGGTAGCGCGCACATCAAATGGGGACGAATGAGACATCAAGTCCCCTTCGATTTCATCGTATATTGATAGGAATTCGTACGTTCGTATGAATGAAATGAAATGATAGAGTAGCCGAGGGTTCGATTTTGTTCCTAGACCAGCCTCCGAGAATCAGGTTGGATAGAATGCAGCGATGTTCTGACTTGACTGGTTAATTCACACTGATTGTGTCAACAACTATATGAACGTAGGTAAATAACATAACAGAAGAAGAGTTTCTTCTCCGGTTCGGCTCATAGCCGTGGACTCGGGTCAAGTAATTTTGACAGCTGGGACAGGGAATTTACTTCGACACACTGCTCTGCGTAGTAGAGATTCCTCTCTTCGTTACACAGCGTGCATATTCACGTCGGGGACGCCTCATGGAACAGTCTGTTTTGACACAACATACGGCGGAGACCGTGGACGCTATACCTGGTGATCACCTGTTTGTGTGTACAGTCTCCCTTCATCCAACTGTCTGAGCACATTGCGGCGAGCGTCGGAACTCTTGGCTCACTTCGGCGATCTTCTGGCTCCACTCCTCCTCGATTCTCGCTACGGCCTCTGTTCTCGGCAGAGCAAACGTCCGTTGTAGCTCTGTAGTCAGCAATCGAGTGCCGCTCAACAGGTACACTAGCCTGTTGCGGGTCTTGTTGTGCACTCTCAGGACTCTTTTAACAAAGCATACTTTCACGGAGTTGAGTTTCGATAGATCTCGGGATTTCGGGTGCTCCCCAATCACCTGTATACCGTAGCTTGCAATCGGCGCGATCTTCAGTTGAAACAGCTTCAGTGCTGTCTCCAACGATGGGTTCTGGGGTGCTGGGATCGAGGCGAAAGCCAGGAGGCCTACCGTATTCTATCGTCGATGTGTTGGCTGAAGTTGGTGCCTGATGTCGTCATCATGATTCCTAGATATGTGAATCTGTTCACATATTCGATCTTGTGCCGGTGGACGGAGAGTTTGTCCTCTTCGGAGAGACATCCTCCTCTTCGGAACTCCATAACCTGGGTCTTGTTGTAGTTCATTGAGAGCCCGCTTGTCCTGACATAGTCGGCTGGTGTGCGGGTAGCGTTCTGCAGGTGATAGTTGCTCGCGGCGTATATGACTATGTCGTCGGCGAACATGATGGTTTTGACAAAAAGTTTCTTCGATTTAATGATCTGGGGCAAGCAGCCGCTTAGAAAGCAGTCCCGTCGTCTGAATGGAGCTGAATTTTGAATCGCGATCGGAACATCCCTCTCTCTCCGAGAAGTCTGTCAGCCGCTTCCACCACTACTCGTACACGACGGAAGTGTCCAAGCTGAAATCCATTCATAGAGCGGAGACGTGACATGATGACGATTGATATCCTCCGCTTCGACTCTCCTTGGAGCATGAAGACATTTTTTTGCGCCGAGCCGAAGTCTCAACGAATGAGCAGAACAGAAAGCTACCATCTCGGAGAGATGTACAGAGACGCTGGCACGGAGATGTGAAGAGAGGCGATGTCGGAGAGAAGCTCGTCGCGAAAGACGAGGAGCTGGAAGATCTCCTCCAACAGGTCCGTCAGCAGATGTAGGCAGGTCTTGCAGCAGCATCTCTCGAAGTTTCTTCCGGAATTCTAATAAGCTTTCATCCTGAAGAAAAACTGCCAATCTCAGTCGTTCCGGTGCTTCGTGGGTTGAAGAGCTCATCGAAGTCGTCTTCGAGTTCTCGGCGATGATTCGCTCAAAGTTGCCCCATTGATCCTGCTATTGATATCTTCATTTTCGATCCGATTCGTTGCGTAGATCAGGGTTCCCCAACCCTCTGTGCACCGCAGAGAAAGTGCAGAATTGCCTAAAAGCCCGTCTTTGCATCGTGTCAAGAGCCCCTAAGAGCGGGAACATCTCACGGAGCGGGCCTGCTTGACGCGGCTCAAGAACTCTCTCACCGCGCATGAGCTTATTCTGAGTCGAGTCCGGTGATCGATTCCTAGTGAACGATCCGGAATTAGACTACGGTTGAAGGAACTTGATTCTAGTAGCAAATTCACAGCAGCGAATCTCGAATAAGGTAAGCGTGAGTAGCTTCGCTCTGCTACGATTTTCGCCACTTTCTTCCTCTTTCTCAATGTGTTAAAAAAAAATCTGGGGACCTCACCCGTAGACCGCTTTCCTGTGAGAACAAAGGTTTTCAGGGAAACAGTGAGTTTTGCAAAGAAGGTTCTCTCTAGGCCCACTGACCGCCTGCTAAGCCACTAAGGATTTCATTTTCTTGTCATATGCTCCGCCATTCAGGAGGACATGGAGCTCGATTTACAATGTCTGTTCCGGGAGCTACGAGCGCTCCGTAAAGATACTTTGACCGGAGTTCCGGGGCGCTCTTCTCAGAGATCGACGGAGCGGCGAGGGTTAGGACAGGTCGTTTCCTGCCTCATATTTCTTCCCGCAACCCCGGGCAAGTTGATGGCCGAGGGGAAGTTTTCGACTTGAGGGGCCGCACCCTGCAATGTCGGCACCTGGTAATGTTTTCCATGATGTCGCGCCCCAGTCGCTCTCTGACCGCCGGAAGACGATCCCGCCCCAGCCATCTCGATTTTCCGACCCTCAGACCCAAGAGCAACTCCCCGAAGATCAGCTGACAATGAGTGCTACCGATGTATGAAGCTTCAGCGTAGCAGGTGAAAGGCAGGACGATTCCTGTGACCTATGCAGACTGAAACCTAGATCAGGCGTGGCGAATAAATTGCTCAGGGTCAAGAGGCTAATTGTCTCGATCCCGATCCGATCTCAGCTGACGTACCTATCGGGATCATGCGGGGTCAGGAAAAACGAGGAGAAAAATGATCACATTCATGATTACCGTAACAGTTTATTGAATCTTCTGAGTAATCGACGGCTGAGGTCAAATAGAGAAAATTTTGGATTTGCGCGGTGCAGCTGATCAAGTCGTCGCTCAAGGTAGTATTAGAATAATAATGCTACGCCTCGAAATACGTCGCTTTGTTTCCCTACGGCTCCTGTAAATCGCAACAAGTCGGGCCTAGACGCTGCAGTTCCAATGTGCTTTGCGGGAAATCCTTCCGCGGTCCATGTGAAGAACAAAGTAACACATGAGCCGAGTTATTTTTCATTCCTACAAGATTAACAGCGTCAGGCCCCGAATCCATCATCGTTATTCCTTCCTTCATCATCAACCTATCGGACGCACAGCCCGATACCGCTCTACAGCCATTCAGGAGTTCGGTACTTTTGCGACAAGAAAACTAGATTGTTTCGATAAATTTGTGTTCTGCTCTTTAAATATTCCGTGTAATAGTGAGAGATGTATTACTTATCGATGGATGTTTCCCTTGTCTCCATATTTCCGGTTTCCTTTCGCAGTCTCGTGTCATTATATTAGCTGGATCGTTGCCATAGCTATTGAAGTGTTTGAGTCGATTCCACTGACTTTACTGTAAATCGTCGTTTAAGCGTAACCTTCTATGCACTAAGTAGGGGGACTTTTTGCTGTCTAGATATACTCCATGAATGAAATCGTTAACAGTAAAGAAGTAGGCCTCATGGCGCCGCTGTTCACGTCTCAGCACCGAAAACTTCTCCCCCAAACCCGGCTGAAAAGCCTCCAGGGTTGCACCTTTGGCCAACGTAAAACACAACATGAAGAGAGGCACTCGCTGGAGATTGCGCCGGTCTCGATTTCCGGACAGATACGACGTTTATTTGGTGCCTGCTAGGAGCAAGCGGGTCGATCTCTGCGAATACCGAGACTCGACGCAGTTAACTGAAGACACGCCGCTTCCGCCGCGGAGGTGACATCTCTGTTATCGTCATCGGCGCGAGCCGGCCCCGCACACAGATGTCGTCGCCGTGAACGGAGAAGCGTGCTCTCGATTACGTTTCTACATAGAATATACAATACGATACAACTTTATTTACAATATTATTATTATTATTCTACCCAGACCCAGAGTCTCTATGAGAATAATTGATTGCGGCGGCGGCTGCTGAATTCGTGAATACTGAAAGCCGAACGGCAATCAAACCTCGATCGAGGAAACGCACCCGTTCAGAATGATCCGCCTCGATGAGAGATTTGCCTATTCAAGAAGGAACGAATAATTCTCATCTAAATTAGCGAGGATTCGGTGCGGTTTGAGGGTCGGCGAGATTTTCATGTCATGTCCATCCCACGGCGACCCAGCACCTTGGATAGCTATCGTAGCGCATTACGTTCTCTTGGTGAAGTGATGAGAGAGTGGATATTTATTGTTAGAGTTCTACTGTCAGACTTGAATCGTCGTCTGCACGGCGACGATCCTCCGAGAGCATGGAGGGGTGCTCCCGAAAGTATTTTCAGTGGTTTCTTATCTTCCGGTGAAGATCACGATTCGTTCATAGGTATTCTGTCGTAGAGGTGAGAGATCCGAACGAGATCGGATTCGCAATCTGCTAGCTGTCGAAATGGCGGCGAGATTTGTTGTTGGTACAACGTTGTTCTGCTGCGTTGTTTTCTCGTATCGGACGACACGTTTGTCGTTTGCAACTTGGGTTTCTGTCTTGAGGAGGGTAAGGTTGGAAAATCCAGTAGCCGTCTTCTGGATTGGAAATTTCTTCCACGGTTCGTGTCTGGGATTGTCGAGGGATCCCTCGAACACTTAGTTATATCACTTAGTTTGCTTGTTCAATTGTCTTTGTGGTATAGTCTCACGAGAAGTTTGGCGCATCGCTCAAAATCCAATTGGCCCGAAGGGGTGGGACCTCTCGGATCGCGACTCTTGCTCCGGTTGCCACGTCAAAATAAAATAATCTTGACTGCCAATGCGCTCGTTCATTCTCATATCATGCCTTGCTGTTGTGTTTTTGATGGTTTAGAGACGTCAGCCATCATTTCCTTGTCAACGTCACCCTTCGCCTCGCTAACAAGTCGGTTTTGCCGTTGGGTAATTCAGACTAGGACAGTTTTTTTTTCTTGGTATTCATACTCAATACTTTTCATTCAAGTTAGGAAGCCAATTTTTAGTTGATGGTGAAACGATGGGTTTTGGAACGAAAGAACGCTGAGGAGGATTTCAGCATTATTTGGGTGTGTGAGTAGTTTGTAGGATTTTTTCAAACGGGCCGTCACGGCCTATGGTGTGAAGGGCATGGGAAACTCGATTTTGATTAGCAATTCGGAAGTGATTGGAAATCCGTGTCTAAGGGGGCGGCAAGCGAAGGTACGGCGACTAGGAACCCAGACTCGTTCCGGAAGGAACAGAAACGAGCGTTCGGGATAGAATTCTTAGAGCGTCTAGGTCAAACGGCTGACAAGCGATCATAGTTGACAAGAATTCGTCAAAAATCTGCTTCGATCTCTAGTGCGCGGCTGCGGCCCCGATGAGGGCCTAGAAAGTTCGAGTTGGTCTAAACTCACTCAAGCTTCCGTAGCGGCTGCGCTAATGTTTCTTTTCGTTGGCAGGGCTGACGAAGCGAGAAAACCGGAGGTTTTCTACGGAAAATTAATCTTCGGATGTTCATACGGTCACGTGACCTTTAACGTGAGTCCTGCTTTGCATTCCATCACTTTGCATAAGTTACTCAGCAGAATTTTGACAGGAACTGAAGGTCAATAAACGTATCGCCGGGATTCCTCTCGAGGAACGGGTTCGAAAAACTCTGAGAGATAAGAACTGATTACTGCTGAGTGTTTGGAACGGGAAAATAGGCCGTGATAAAAAAACAGAGAAAATAAGGAGGAACCAACAATATTACGATCCAGAGACACAAACTTGCGGTCCGGAACTCCAGGTTGACTCCTGACAAAAAGAACCGGACCTGCAAGCGTAGGAACGTGAGCGATTCGCATTCAGAGAAAAATTGCATTGGCTTCAAAGTTCAGAAGGCTCTCAACTCGACAGCCTGGACTATTGAGAGCGAGTCCCGCGAGCTTTCGACTTCTTTGAGTTGATGCTGAAAACCCCAAATAAGAGCGAAAACGCGAGAGTACGTCTGTGGTACTCCGATTGGACGTATAGCTTGCGCGGTACAGAGAAATTTAGCATCACTCCGTGCTTGGTGGCATTCGAGTGTAGTTCGCCGATTGTTGTTATTAGTTCTTGCTGCTCTTGTTGAAGCCCCTTCTTCTCTTCTTCTTCCCAAAGGTACCGATGAGTGGGTAGTCTTCGCGCCGAAAACGTCTGAGCTATCCGGTGGCAGAACAGAATTGCCGAAAATATTGATCCTCGGAGACATTTGCTCCGAATTCGTTTTCTCTCTTCGTGATTCGACTCCGTGATACGAATTGTACCCGGACAAGTCTGTTCTTTCCGGATTCGACGTCTCGTAGATTCTGGCGAATCTTCTTACGCTTAATCTTTGAGCAGCTTCTGAGCGCGTTGATTGGCTGCGCTGATCCTCGATTCGTTGGATGTCGCCTGAGATTAAGGGATACGGAGGGTTAGGCGGGGAATATCAATGAAGAGGGCAAGGGACGGGTTCGGGGTAGAGACGGTCTTCACTTCGTCAGGGGAAAAAAATCGGGAGAGCACCACTGGTGAGACGTCGCCTGGTGCCTCGACAGCGTCTACATGTCCCTTGGTGGGTATCCACGAATTTGAAGCCATTGTTGGAAGAACGGACGTCGTAACTTCAAAGCTGTGATCTCGGAGCAATCCGGGAAACGGAAACATTCGGTGTGCTCTTGCAAAAAGGCTCAACGATCTGAATTTTCGCGCATCAGTTCTCACTGAAGCCCCCCACTGGAAATGAGTAAAACGGCCAAAGCGATTGGATTCGTGCTGCGTGAAACGTGCTCCAGCTGGAATGAGTTGCTGCTAGAAATCACTTCGCGCCCGCATTCGTGTGCGAGCTTCGTAGAGCAGGCGAGGGCACGCCGTCGTTGCCTCACAGTGAATTCGACACGGCGATCAAAAACTTCCGCGGAGTATCACGAGTAAGTCTGCACATCATTCTCATACGCTATGGAAGTCCAAGTACAGAGTTCCTGATCGGATCTCCTGTCAGATCAGATCTCGATTATCCTAGCGACTAATTGAGATGTAGTCTGTCGAACCGAAAACGGGAGATGAGGCCAGAATCGCTGTGCCATGGCGAGTCCGACTGGAGATCCCTTGTCTCTCGGTACAGTCGCCGTCGCATCGTTATGACGTCGTCTGGCTCGGATCTGGAGCACCTCTTCGGCATGCATGAAGATATCTAGATGATTGTGGGGGAAGCTCGCTCACCGCTGACTAGCAGCAACCCATCGCGTCGCATCCTTCACTCGAACCATTCGTGCGGAATTATCGAGTGAAGTTCAGAGCTGCATTCATTGCAAAGCGATCGATCTGTCAGCCAATCGATGGATATTCAATAAATCGAGAACAAAACGGGCAGCGTCTCGTCTTAGCTAGCTGCGAAAGACGTCATCTGATTCCCAAGCGGAAAGAGCACTGCTGTCGACAGAAGAGTTGACGAAACGATTTTAGAAGCATGTCATCGACATTCCGAGATTCTCAGTCCCGAGAATCTCAGTCATCTCCCGATCTCGTTCCCGGGGCGGGATACACGTATATCCCGCGTGGAATCAAGCTTGAGAGACCCCGAAGCCTCTCCGAACGCATCCGGGTTCGAGCTGTAGGATATTGCTTAATGAAACATGCACTTGCGGAACGTTGTCTCGCAACTCTGAGAAGAAAGCGTTCAAATTTTTTTCCAGTCGCAGACACATATTTCGATCGAAGATTTGATCAAGAAGATACCCAAAGGAGGAAATTTCATCAGGGGAGCTTTCACTTCGAGCTTTACTGATGGCGAAGCGAGCGGGTATCTCATTCTCATCGCGAGTCTTTGAAAAATATTTTTCCAGGTCGCTCCGACGCTTTCCTCCTCTATACTACCCTAGTCGAAGCCGAAAATCGATCCAATTGCAGCTCTGCATTGCCTCCGCGACGCTAGTCTTTTTTTTTTCGGAGATGTTCGACGGAATGAGAGAACAAAAACCGCCGTCCTCACAGGTCTAAATGAGCCTTGATATCATTTTCGTTGCAGAGGAGTTTCTGACAGTGAACGTTTCCATTACGGAAACAAAAGAACCCCACACGGGATTTGAGAAGCGTTTTTTCGTCTCTATATTTATTGCTTCGATTCTCGACTGCTCTGCCTCGAAATTCTACGCGATGTGAGTTGTTCGATTCGAAAACGGAGAACTACAGTCCCGAAAGCTTTATCGTTATGATCCGTCTCGCGTTGCGGGAAAACTATCACAATCAGTGCAATAAATTCAGCCTAAAACATTCCGACGATGCCATCTGGAAGCTCTCGAGAATACTACTGTCGATCTCTACTCGAATAACGGGGTCGCCGCATGCATCCGGCGACCGTCCACGGGAGGTCCTTGTCATCGTTCTGGTCATTGATGATCTGCTCAGCATACAGCGCTGCTGTGCGTTTCTCTATCGGAACAATAAGTTCCGATACACTGCATTCGCATAATTTTCCGAAGGAACTCTCTCTCCTGAATTTCCTTTTCCTTTTTCGTTTCTAGGCGAAAGCTATCGATGACGTATCCTCTCCTGGTAAAAATAGACGTCAATCATCGCAAGCCAGCTGCCGAAGAGCGCTGAACTCATAGCTCGGTCGCGGCAATGCCTGCTACGGTATTTCGTTCGGGCATTGAATGTATGCGAGCTCTGATCTTGACCCATTGTACGTTCTGACCACATGTCTAAGAAACACAGAGTCTCTAAATCCTATCTAGGGTATATCCTCGCCGACTGATTGCGTTCGGTACCCTAACCCATTAGAAAACACCGAATAGGTGATATTCTCAACTGTACGAACTGGTTCGCATAAAGAACGGATCGTTGCCGTCGAAACCGAGCTCGATGAAACCTCTGTTCGATTTGGCCGCAAGCCTTTGTCTCTATCTCATCCTTCGGGAAACAATACAATGATCATCAGGTCTAAGCTGTGATTGCGAGGAATTCTAAGTAGTCATACGAAATTGTCTCCGTCTAAGCTTCCGAATCGGACCACTTTTGCTCAGCTCGCTCGACCGATCCTCGGTGACAATGCTATCTGCTCCCAAGAAGTATTGGGACGCGATTCTAGATACGCTCTAGCTCTGCCGGCTTAGCGCGAGCTCAGTCAGATCCCGCCTTCTCCTCCTTAGTCGATGGGTTTCGTCGTCCTCAGAGGAACGGTGCCCAGTGGCGACGTCTCAATGATTTGGCGCGAATCGCACTCGGAGTTGCTCCTGGAGCGTTTCAGGATTCGGAAGACCGTAATGTCGCGTTGAATTGAATTGAATTTCGTGCTGTCGTAGTTCTCGATGAACTTTTAAGAGGTCAGTAACTTGGATGTTTTTCCTGCGCCACCTTGACCCTCATATTGACTGAGTCCGCCTAAGGAAAAAAGAGTTGTGTTTGCACTTAGCCATTTTGGGAGGCGGCTCCGGCGGATGAAGCTCCGCAGAGGAAATCTCGCGGGAGCCTCTACAATTCATCCTAAGTCTAATCGGCGTCTCATAAACATGAGAGCTTTCGCTGGGAGCGTGGGCCACAATGCGACACGCGTTCGCAACGGGCTCGGAATATCGACATTCACCATGTGACGGCACTGTGCACCCATACACAACCAGACTGGTATCGTCGATCACGGCAGATAGAGATTAGCAAGTGATGTTCACATCGAGTTAGACGGTAGAAGGATGAGAGAGGACGTTAGATCGACAAGGTAGCACGTTGACTACGGGGCTTTCACATCGAGGTCTCTGACGGTCCCAAAGGCGAGGACCACGACAGCTACGTGGGAATACACGGCGGCGAGGTTCTACCTCTTCGCGGGTAGACGTTCTCTAGATCGGCATCACAGATAAGATAAAGTTTCGTGAAAATTCAGGCGAGAATGGAATGAAAGCGAGCACAGGACATTCGAATACCATACCGATGTGCATACTACAGTAAAAGCTCGTTACTACGAACACGGAGGGACCGACGAAACTGGTTCATTGTACCGAGTTTTCGCTGTAACGGATGCCGCTCAACACTATCCCTATGGCGAGCTGGCCAAAGGAGGAGAAATTCCTTGTTCGTTGTACCGAGAAATTCGTTGTAATGGGGGTCGTTATAACGAGCTTTTACTGTATATCCAATTGAAGGCGAGCTTGAGGCGAATTGGAACGAGTTGAGAAAAGCATGCTCTCGGCTACACGGAACAGTCGGGTGATTACCCGCTACCTCACAGGCGGAAGAAATGTACACGCGCTGCGTGTTCGGCATGCAGTCCTAATACCATGGAATAATGCTCTGGGAAGAGAGATGAGGAGAAACGTGCTTGGTCTCGATCGAGGAAAGACCACACCTGAGGACGAAGTTCGACGCTGGCTGGCGCGGTCGAGCCATGGGCGTTTTGGTGGAGGAATGCTCTGGGTGAGGTGATGTATGCTCGTGGAGCGGACCAACGTACAGGCATACATACACACAAGTCGTAGTCAGGACGAAGAAGACGTGGTTTGTGAAAATCGGGGATGGGCACCACGCATAGGAAGGCCACTGGTAGATTGGGTTGGGAGACGGAGGGCGGAGCAGCCCTTGTCCAGAACTCACCTTTTGATTTACTCGGTCAATCTGGCGATTCTGCGATTCAATCTCGCTTCCCATGTCGATAGCCATGTTGCGGAGGTTGCCGATCATTGTCGACACCTGACCCATGTTGTCCTCCATCTCTTTCTCTCTATCGTCGTTGGTGATTCTGGAGAAATCGGCGAGAAAAATTAGTTTCGGGCACCAGTCGGGGTCGAAAATTCTCGTGACACACGAATGGGCTGAACAGTGAAAGGTCGAAACCGGAATCGAGACGGACGTGGATTTCAGTCCTGTCTCCTTTCCTCCCAGTTTGAAGTCGGATATCCCTCACGGACCCGACAATGATTATTGAAGTCCCACGTGCGACCCGAGCACAGGTTCCTTTATTCAAAAACCAGAACGAAGCCACATAGGGATTGTCCGTGCCGTCGTGGCCGCCACTGCGTTCGAGAATAGAGCGTGCAACGCACGCCATGACTCTCCCGAAAGCCTTTCGAAAGCAAAGTGATCGACGACCGACGCAGTCTCTTAAGGCGGAACTAAGTCTTTAGCGAGGAAAATCTGCTGACTCTGGATGTCAATCCTGGACTCTCGGTACTCGGGAGAAAACTGAGGCGGTCCGATATTCGGAAATACTGCCGGGTCTCAGAACTCCGAAATCGTCCTGCTTCTAGATTCGGCGCATCGCAAAAACGGCGAGTCTTGAGATCAGGCCCGAGACCACCGAAAGCAAGCGGTGATTCCGTACTTCCTGTCGCAATCCCTCCGACGCGACGGACGCGATTACTATCGTGGTAATCGGGAGGGAATGTGAAGGCTCCGCCTCCGCAAACAATTTCCGTGAGAAGTATTCGCTGCCTGCAGATGATAATGAACCGGCCGTGAAACATTTGTCCCGAGGCGTGGCCCTGCTCTTATCGGAGCGAGAATTCCTGTCCTTGCTTTACAAGACGGGTCAGATAACCCACAATACTGATGATAACGAACGCCTCAGATGACGGACCCAGTGGTGGAAAACGAACGTTGCAGAAGACGGTCGTCACCGACCGTGAGCGAGGTGACAGTACCGGCTATGTAGGATTCCTTTTTTCCCTGATTCCTGACGTGATAACGAGCCTCTCAGGGAAAGACGAGGGATGCTTCGCTCGCTTGACAGCCTAACCTTCGGGCCGGTCACCCCATCCAAGACAGAACGGAGCTTCTCAACAGTGCTCGCACTTCGTACTCTCTCCCCAATCCTCTTCAAGACATTGAGCAGGAAGCCTGCATGGATCAGTAACTCTAGCCATGGAGCTCTTTGGAGCTTTTCACCGCCGTTCCCAGATCGTGGATCGGGTTGTGGTTCAGCACAGCCCTGCTCCCGTGCGGACGGCACAGGACGGTGAAACCGCCTTCAGGATGAGAGAATGTTATCCAATCCAATGAACTCCTTCGATAACACTCCTCAATTCAGCTTGGGATTTTCCCAAACATGGGTTCCCTCAAACTCATGAGAATATGGGTTTCAGTGATCTAGTCGTCTGTCTAAGAGCCGGCATGATAGCAGATTTCGACCCTTGTGTTGTCGAATCCTGCCCCTCTATCCCAGCCTAAAAGACAATTTTTTCTTCGCGGCTTCTCGCGGTGAGTCGGACCCACACCGAGGAGGTATTCGGCATCTAGCCTGCTCGAACCCGTACTTCTCCATCGATCGATCCATTATCTTTCATCGCCCGTGGGAGCTTCGCACAGATCGGGCCGACTTCGTCCGGACCGCAATGAGCAAGGTGTTCTGTGAGAAAAACTCAAGAGGAATCTCCTTGTTTGCGGGTTTTCTCTGCACGGTGCGGCATCTGCTCTGGTTCGTTCTCTGTTAAAACCATTATCGATGACGTTCGTTATCTCATGCTGCTTTCCTGTCTGCCAGCACCCCGTGAGATTTCAGGAGAATCTCTGCGAGTGCTCCGTTACAGCCAGCTCACTCACTCACCCCTCTTGGCGGGTTGACGTCCTCTTCCTTCAAAAACGGGAAATTCGACCGATTCGAAAACCGTGAATCGCCTTGTCAAATGTCAGGCCTCATCCGGGTTATTCCCGGGATGCGTTCAGGTAAAATATCTCATCATCCAGACCACGCAGGAGAATCTTCTAGAAGAATAGCTCGGAGCGCCGAAATGAGCATCTTCCACACAAAGTTCTCCCGAAAAACCCCTGGGAGCCCACGTGTTCGCAAAAAGCTGACAGCGGGAAATTTCGAGGCGGATGAGTGAGTCAAAAACTCGAGCTCTCTCGGTCGTTACAGGATCTCGAGCAAACGAGCTTAGGCCCTGGCTGGCGACAGAGCATGGAATTTAATCACTTTTTCTCGGTTTTTAGGCTCGAGTCCCGAGTTCGGCTAACTTCGTTCAGAGGATTTCCCACGTTGTGCCTGCTCAACCTTTGAGAAGTTCTCCTGTGTCGGAGGCAAAATCGTGTGCTCCTCCAACGAGACGGTTGCGAGGCCGGCAGCTAGCCATTCTTCCAATACATCGCTTTTCTATACGTCATCCGGGTGGACAGGCATCTGCAGGAGTCAAGCCTTATCCCGACTCACTTGGCAATGTATCCTGAAGTAGGTCCCGTTCCATTGCGGTCGTCCATGACGCGGGCTGGCTGGCCATTTACCACCTTGCCGTCCTCGTTTTTATTCCAAGTGCTGGCATCCTCCTTGAACTCTTTGCCCCTGTAAGCAGATGTCCGGTGTATTGTTAGCTCGCTCCCTGGCCAAAGAAAATAATGCTTATCCGTTGGTTCGGATCCGTCGGTATGGTCAACCTCCTCGTGATCATAGACCTCACGGCCCCACTAACTCGGAGGGTCTGGAAGGTGGAGGGTCTGATTCGCCGGAAACAGCGCTCAGCCCACATGTTGTCTTGAGAGCCCGGGAGCCGCGGGAAAGCGACCAGCTGTTTCTCGCTCTCTTCGCGTTCTTACGCTCCCCCCTCCCGTTGGAATTGCCATACACATGCTTGCGCATCGGATCACAACTCATAATTGGCAGAGGAATCCACTTGACGGAAATCATAGTTTTCATCCAGCAAGCAAGGTATCGGCGTCTGACAAGTAAACATTCTTTTTTGAAAATGACAATCGCCTGGTTTGACATGCTTTTCTGAAAGTTTCCGAGCCCCGGAGCAACCCCGAGTCGTTTTTCCCTGCTGTCCTGCATTTCATACCCCTTTCCTGCAGGCTCCGAAACCCGGAAAAAACACCCTTCACATTGAAATCCGGGATATTTTTCTCGGATTTTGATGGGAATGTTTTTCCCCCAGGTTCCGAAGCCCGGAAAGACTCATTCCCATTGATATCCGAGCAAAATATCCCGGATTTCGATGTAACTGGTGTTTTTCCGGGTTTCGGAGCCTGCAGGGAAGGGGTATGAAATGCAGGACAGCAGGGAAAAACGACTCGGGGTTGCTCCGGGGCTCGGAAACTTTCAGAAAAGCATGTCAAACCTGGTGATTGTCATTTTCAAAAAAGAATGTTTACTTGTGAGGAATGAGCTCCGGGGCTTTTTCACAAACATTCGGAGGGTAACCTCCATTCAGTTTTCGGAGCGAAACGATCTTAGAGGGTGGCGGACTCCGTGATGATGTTTTCTTTTCCACATGCGGCGAAAAAGAGCAGAACATTGGTGAACTGCTCATTGGTTCGAGTCGATTCACTTCCTCCGACAACTGCCCCTTCCTCAGAGCTGAACCGCGGGGCGGCACACACGTGACGAGAATTCTCTCGGAGCTTCTCTATCATATACCGACTGTGAGAAATTGGTCCCGGACACGAAGGATCAGAGCGGGGAGAGTGATGCGGAGTACCGGTGGCGACTAGATTCTGTATACCTAATGTCTGAAAGTCAGCGAGAGCATTCCCACGTACTTTTGACAGGGGCATACACAGATACCACAGCATTTTTCCATTCCAGTTAAATTTTTTTCGGCTTCCTTCATGTCGGCATTGATCTTGTCCATGTCTTCTTCGATCCGGTCGAGTTGCTCTGGAAAACAATATTGCGAGCGTAAGTTCATCCTCCCCAGCGGAAACTTCTGCCGGAGTTCGGCGGGCTCTTGAGCTAGGAACCTATGTGGTACGCGTCTTCGTCGAAACTCCAAGCTGTTCTATCGAATGGCCTGACGTGAGTTCGAGAATATTGACGGACATCTCTATAATACGGGCACTTCCCAGGAGACGGGAATGCCATTGGAGGCAAAGGAGAGACACGCGACTCCGGTCCAAACGGGGCTCGGACGGAGCCCCGTCGAATTCGCGAAAAATCGTCTTCTGTCCCGTATAATGTTGAGGATTATTGCATCCGCAAGATATCGCGAGTCTCTTTTGGTGCGTGATTAGACGGCACGACGCAGACAAGGAGATCAGCTCACGGTCGATAGAACCCGAATAAAACAACTGTGTAGCGAGATCCGCATCTGATGCGGACGCAGCCTGGTATTTTTTTCCGCTGTCATCCATGAAGCTAATATACTAATATACTACGAAGGTGGGATATACTAAGCTCGAAATATTCTCCGTCAGTGGCAGCGCCCATATCTCACCCGAGACGTGACGTGCCAACTGTTCGTCCAGACCGTTCGATCTTCCCTCACAGTACGGAGTAACATGAAACTGCGCAGAAGTGGCGGAACAAACTCGACACGATCCCCCGCGGCTATATTTAACTCACAACAAACTTCCGCGGCTTCCGAGGACAAAAACTGCGAAGGAGTACAAAAATTTCCACCGAGTTCTCACGTTCTGCTTCGGACAGGTCGACCGCGGCGAAGCTTGTATGCGGAGCTCCTTCCAGAAATCCCTTCCTCTGCGTTTGACCATGAGAAGAGTCAGATAAGCGCTTCTCGAGCTTCTCCTATCAGCGGCACCATCCTCCCCTCAGATATTTCTGCAGCACTCGACTATGGAGTTCTCCGGTCCCGGCTCGATGTTTCACAAAGTGACGAAATATATAGTATTCTTATGTATGTCGACTTTCATGCGAAGAAACTTGGACAATCCAGATGCATCGGATGTGACCACACTTTGGAGAGGGATTTTAGTCGAGGCGCGCTCAGATGCCTCCTGTGATTCGGCAGATTCATCAAAACGACAGACCGCTTTGATGCCGAAGCCCTCGATATATCCAGCCCTACTGTCGGGACATTCTACTCCCTTTTGACTCATTCGGTGTCCGGGAAGGAGCGCGGGAGAGCCGATAGGTCAGGGCATAATTTCTAACTGTCCCACTGGCATCGCCCTGGCGGATGCCAAATCCGTGAAGGTTCGGAATCGACTGACAGATTTTGAGAGCGAGATCATGGGGGAACTTTCGACTCGACACGGAGTCTGAAAATTCGTGTTTCACCCAAAAATTGAGCCCGCGTCGAATGATGAAGGATTCGCACCAGATCAGAGCTCGATGAGCGCTAAACCTAGTTGGTTTCGCAAGCGAACCAATCCCATGTGATGCTTGGAAGGAATTTCCTCAGCAGAGATTCGTACGCTGCAGAAATATCTCACTCAGGAATCGAGCTCGACTCCCATAATAGATTCTCTGTCCGCCGAGGTTCAATCAAGGTCATCTCTCCACCGTTTCCGAAGTACGAGTGAGACCCGAAACGAGCGCGTTCCACCCTTCCATGAAACACCCGTATAAAATCGAAAAAGCAGACTGGGACTGCTCGAAAAAGCTCCGTCGGTCGTTCTGCGGAAAGTACGGCGGACTCTCGCCTTGATGGAGGTGGAGTTTCTTCCTCAATTTGGAAAGTTGTAGAATCGAAGATACCGGAGCAGTCTATTCGGAATTCTCTACCTCTCGGGAGGGAACAAGTAAGCTTCCAAACCAGGAACAGGATTCTGCATGCCCTCGAAAGCCCAGATCAGTATTTCTCTCACGACGGAGAAGTATCGAGGGCAATGGGTAGCGACGAGATAATTTCAAACATTACGCAGCGTCAGTCGAGAGCGCAGAGCTGACTGAGATTAGTCAAGCTGGAGATTAGCGGTTCGGGGAGACAAAATCTCGGATGACTTCGCTCCATCCGTATACGCCAGACCCATGATCAAATGTTCGATTGCATGAGCCAATACGCCAAGCATATCATCATCCGTGAATATCCAAGCAGACAACCTCCAATAAAATTTATGGCGTCACAGGTACGAGCGAGCCCAGAGAGTGATTCAGGTCGAGCAAAGTGACTCGAGGCTTCGCCGAGCCAAACTCGTTGCCGTTGACGGCACCATGAGATGTTCGATCTTTGTATAACTCGGGGCGACTTTTCCCCCTGGAGCAAAGTGATGGAACGTGTTTTCGACAGGTCTGTTCAATATGGACAATTCCTCCCATCGCCTAGCGATCTCTGAACATCGCAGATTCTTGCAAAAATATTCGGCAATAGACACCCGCAGGCAGTTCCCTAGCCCAGCTGCTCCGACTGTCGGTTGGCAAACAATATATCCATCGATGTTCATGGAGCTGTATCTCAACTTTAACAATTCAAATGAGCCGGGAGCGTTTCGAGGGATAGATTGGGTCCCTATCGCTAACATGGGAATAACTTGTGGTTATCCTTGGCGTGTGGGAAGCGTGACTCTGACTGAGATTAGAATCGAGGATCGAATATATGTACGGTGAGGAACATGGACGGATCCTGGAGGTCATTTGCCATTCATGTGCAAATCGAGCCGCGAGGGAATTCGAGAGGGCCTAATCGATATCCGAACCAAAATAGGCCGATTCCAGAATACGCATTAAATGACGAGAAACCCATCTGGGGCTAGAACTTCCTTACTTATCCTTAATCCGATAAGATGTCCCGAATCGAGAAAGGTCTGGCATATGGAGCTCTACCGAAAAATAGAGATACGAAAAAAAAGCACGAGACCGATCGAAAGTCTAATAACTAAATGATCAAGGGTCTATTCACCCCACAGAAACAATACCCGCGATACGTCATCGGAAAGCAATTCTCTCGGCGGCTTGCCCTCTTTCGCGCGCTTTGCATCTGGTCGCTCCCGAGGAATCTCACGTCTGAAGCAAAAGAGCCTCGAGGACCCCTCTTGCTATGAGTCGACCATCGTTCAAATCCTCCTATATTTTCGTAGAACCTACAACCACAGGAAACACCCCGTTCGGCTGTGATCCGGGAACATCCGTCAGCTTGGAGAGTTTTCGTGCTCGGGCACGACCATTTTCTCTTGACGTGTGAGGATCTCGTATCCCTGAACAGAGGGCAGATGGCTTGACGCTTCCCTTTCGAGGACGTCAGGAGCAGGATTTCCATTCGACCGACTCAGGGTGCTATCCTCGCCAGATGTATACTTCTCCCGACGAAATATCCTACGGTGGGAGCGAAGAGCGGCTCGCCTCTGCTGTCTATCTGCGACTGAATCGAAACACGAGGTTTCCGAGGCTCTTTGAGTCCGCCAGTGGACTTTTTATGAAGACTTCTTCTTAATTCAGTGCTCCATGCGGGAGGAGCTCATGAAATTTCGTGACGGAGATGGAAAACTCCCCGAGGACGTCTTGGATTTCCGCATGATATTGTGAACGACGGCCGTCGGCGATCGGGAAGGGATATTGCGTCGTTCGTCCACCGAAGCGGGAGCGGTATTTGGGAAAAAAACGACTCTCCTCACTCACCTCCTTGTTCGTCGAGAGCAACCAGGGTTCGGATTCCGGCTTCTTTGCTCTGAAGATAGAGAAAACATCTCGTTATTAAAGTCAACTTCCTCTGCGAGGTAATGACGTCCTCTTCAAACTTCAAAGAAATATTCGTCGAACGATCTGCGTCGAGCGATCCGTCTTCGAATCACAGGCATCTTCCGAAACGCTGATCAAGCACCCGTTGAGCCGAGCGGGAATCACGCGCTCGACGATTCCGACTTGTCATCAGGAGGGAACGCTCCTCCATATGCTATTTCTGCGCACTGTTGATTGTCGCCTTTCGACTGCGGCGCCCGCTACTTGCCCCACGCTGCACTTTCCAATGGTGTTCGAGACGGCCATTAAGCCGAGCTACGACAACGGCGAGTGGCAGCAGCCTCGCTAAAAGGATTTTGCAGCGAAGCACGCCACACAGTCGTACTTTCATCATTTATGCACGGAGTGCCAGCAGAAAAACAGCGCTCACAAATCTGGCCGTTCCAATACAGTCCGACATAGTTTTTCTCTTGCAACAAATCTACGAGTTTCTGGCAATGAGTTCTATCCCCGAAGCACAATAATTGGGCCACGAGTGGGTCTGATTAGGGTGTGCCAGAATCGCCACGCTCACAGCAGGAGATCCGGATGGTTTTCGGCAGCGAATCGGGATGCGAGTCGGGCCCAGTATCGGGCTTATGCAGCCTGAATATCTGGCCAGGAGGGCTTATCGATTTGGATTTGGCACGGTAATAGATTGAATCTCCTTCCGATGGAAAATTATTGTTACGTTCGGAGAAATAACGTTCGCTAACGAACCTCATCATTGACTATGTACAGCATTCCGCGTTCGCTGCCCTTTCGCAGATGCTGTGGATCCGCGCCAGTGGTCTGGCCCCCTCAGGGAGGGTTCTATCTGTTCCTTGCTCGTCTCTGTACACGCTCCTCTCAAGGTCATCGCACGGCCCGTACACCATTCCGCTTAGGGAGAGATCCTTTTCCGCGCTCCTACAGCTCGACAGTGAGCGGCAGGCAGTTGATCCTTCGAAAAACAAGGGATCATCTACGAGAGATCGTCCTGCCCCTTGTTCCGAACACGCGACCGACTCGGGAATTGCTAGGGTCGAAATCGCTATCGTCGCACCGATGGGGGCAGGGGGCGCGAGGGCAATGAGAGAGTCCATGGATGCCCTCGAGCTTCGGAAACAAAATTCGGAGGTTTCACTCCAAGTCTCGCTCGCCTCTGGGTCGGACTTTCTCGTAAAGTCAAATGTACGGCGCAGGCGGTTTTCAAACGCTCGATCGGTAAAGGAATTCCGCTTTTCGTCTCTCCTGCTCAAAGCGTCCCCAGCAGCTCATCATCAGGGTTGATTGTAGCGGCCACCAGGACACTCGGCAAAGTACTGACTGAGTGCAAGGTGGCTCTCGCCGGGCCCGCTGTTGCCATCCCGGTACGTGTTCTGGGTTTTCCCGCCTTTGTCACCGGGGTAGACTCGGATCTTAGATTGTTATTATGGGCCGCTCCGAGACGAAACTACGCTGGGTGCAAATCGTTCCGAAGTCTGTAGCGGACAAGTCCTCGATGCTCCCTGACCGGTGAAAGAATTCACGAGCGGTGCGCGGCGGGAGGTCGCCAATGTCTCGCGGAGATAGAGCTCGGAATCCGGGAAAAGGGGAACGAACGGGCTCTGGACACCGGCTCCAAAATTTTCCGGATTCGAATAATTGGAGCTGAAGATTTCGCTCGGAGCTGAATGTAGTGTTCCCCAGAATCAGCTCGAGGCACGGGAGGCTGAGCTCACTACCCGACGACTGTCAGTGCGACGAGGAGAGGCGCAGGCATGGGGAACGAGTGCGTGACGAGAATCAGCATGGAGCCGTTCGGGCCCTAGTCGCCGGACCGGTCCCGAGGAATACCCGAGCAGGTAACAGGAGTCACGCTCTGACATTTTGACTTCGGCGAAAATTCTCGCGAATAGCTTCGACTTCGCATCCGACGTTTGGAAGACAGGGTGATCCGACCTTTGTAGATAAGGATGTTCGTCGAGCGAGGAGCGTTCTCGTTGTCAGGGTGCTCGGTACGAGAATCGGGTGGACTTTGCGCCAAAACGACGCGAGAATCGGGTCTGCAACCCTCAGGGTCCTGTTCCTGAAATCCTTTTCAAGTATTTCCTCCGAGGAGTCATACAATGGAAAAGCATCGGAGTCCGAAAGGAATGCTCCAGGAAACGAAGCTAAGCTCGCTCGTTCGAGCGGCCCTGATGGCCATGGAGCGAAAATCTCGAGTTCATCGAGAGCCTTATACGATCCTGCAAATTGACGAATCGCTGCCAAAGATCAGAATCATTCGGCTCCGGTGAGGCATCGCCTCGCGACCGCTCCCAGGTCTTTGGCTGATTCTAATCCTCATTTGATGGGAGTGCTTATGGATGACGGCTGTTGCTACGTGCTCCTGCGAAGTGCTGAGCTCCGCATGCTCCTCTGCTGTGAGTGCTTCCCCGGCACAATAATTGTACGACAATTCGTCCGGCTCATTGTGGTCATGGCTTCTCCAATCGAAGTGCTCAGCGGCAAGAAAACAATGCATGGAGCCACAATGGAAAACAAGTCCAGGGAGTCATGCTTAGGGCTCGACCCGACCAACAATATTCGTTCGGCAGTTCGGTCTCCGGATTGATTCCGGGATCCTTTCGGTCCGCGGGTTGAGGTCACCTGTGTCACAGCACATGCGAATCCGTCGAAGCGATGATCCGTAGAGCCAATGATGGTCTGGTAGAATGGCGCGGCGGCCATCGAACAGCGGCCGTTTATGCACTAATACGTATGACAGAATTCGTCGAGTCCCGAGCACGCGTCGATCGCTCGCCTGGCTGTCGTGTCCGTAAATTCGATTACGAGGAACCGAGAAGACAGAGTGATGAACAACGGAGCGAAACCCAAGGAATGCTTTTCGCGATCTTTTCCGCTGTCCGCTGACTGGCCGTGTTTTCTGACCGGTCGCGTTGTTTGGCTGTGCTCGTTATTAAATTCCAAGCAGGCCGGAGCAGCCAGGTCTTCGATGTCGAACCGCCAGGATGACATTGTGTCCTGGTTCGAAGGATTATCGACCATGGTCGGCTCTCATGGTCAGGTCGTTTCGACTCATCTGTAAGACGACAGAGTCCCGGATGAGCTCTCCGAGCTCAGTTTGTCAATGTCTCCATTCGAGCCCTTCGCATGGATTCCCGATGGGGCGTAGTCTGGTTCGAACTCATCTTGCGAAGAGAACACGGAGGAGGGGTGAAGAAATCTACGACGAGTCGGAACGGAACAAATAATGACGACGGCGAATTCCATCTGTACCCCCTCGTGTGTGGAAGAGATCGTCAACCGTTCGAGGGACGGGCGTGCGAGACGTACCTTCCGGAATAAGTTATTGGACTCATCCGTCGCAGGCTGTCGGGAAGGACAGCTTGCAGGATCATGTCGGTAATCTAAATCTCGGAGCGCAATGGAATTGCTCGGAGCGGTCTATTCGAATCCAGAGGAGGTGAGCTACCTCCTCTCTCGGGTGACCTAACGGAGCCTCGCTGATGTCAAAAACAGAATTGAGACAATAGTCAGTAGCGAGTCGCCTCCGAGCTCCATGCGCTCTTCTCAACAAGGAATACATAGGGAATCCCTTTGAATTCCGGCTCCCACTGCGGCAAGAGAAGAAGAAGCCTTTCGCTTATTCCTCGCGGACAAAAATCGGCATCCTCTCTCAGGTTTAGAATGTTCAGATTTAGAATGCTCTAAACATAACTCTCGTAGTGGAAGTATTGGTCGCATGTCGATGACGTGCGCGAACGGATCAATGAGCAGCTATGAGGAGCGGAGGAGAGGCTCAGAGATGGAGGGGGGAGATTCGAGTGATTAATCAGTTTCTGGGTTGATCTCTCCGCTCTCATTCCGACGCAGATCGGAGCTGGATGTTACGGGGATCCTGCGGAATAAATTGAACAAACTCACCTCCTCGCATAGTGCGAGCATGCGCCGGGTGGACTCGAGTGACTGCAAGACAAAGAGAGAAAAGTTAGATATACGCTCAGCTGAACCGGAAACTGGAATCAGAATCATCATATGGGATTCTCTATTGTCATCAGCCCGCTCCGGATCGAGGGTGAGGAGCTCCGGAAGTCCTGTGATCTCGATCAGTACAACTAGTCCTTCTTCTGAGGAATGAGGATGGAACGGGATCGAAAATCACTATCGGTGCTCTAGCGATGCCTTAGCCTAGATGAAGCCTGGGAGCAATTCGGGATTCAGCCCCGTCGAGACTCCGCGTATCCAGGGGAAATTCTTCCGAACGGCGTGCCGCGGTAACCGGGAGAAAACCCGCGGGCGTCTTCAAATGGCGACCCATCGTCAGCGAAGCCGACGTCAATTCAATGAGGAGTGACAGGCTCTCAGAGCAGATCAGAACTCTTGTCGAGGGAAAATTGCTTGCAAAGCGACCACCTTCCAAATTCCAATCCTTCTTTACTTCACTCCCTTCCTCGAGGAGACGAGAATCTTTGTCCCCCTTCTCCGTGAGCTTGAGATGAGACACGTCTACCTCCTCCCGGATTCGGAATCCGTTCGGGAAGAGGAGCCGTCGAGAGGGAGTGAGCCCAGACAAGCCGGCCGCAGAAGACTTTTCTCACCCATTAGGGACTAAGGGATCAACGGAAATTTTTCAAGAAGTCCAAATTCGGAAACCCCGGTTTCGGAATGATCATTCGGATCCAGCGGTTTGCGAATTGATGGCCGAGTCTCGAACAAGCTCATCTGGCCGAAAATCCCACTCCGTCGTCGTAGAGACTATCCCGAGACGTTCTCTGACAAAGAAGTCTCGGATGACACCCCGGCTGTTGAGTTGCTCCGGACCGATCGCGGAACTCCCTTCCGGGAGAAGTCTGGGGAGCAAGTGAGAGTTTCCAGAGATACCCTGCTTAAAAAGAGCCTCTGAGTGGAGTGGAAACAAAGGAAAGTTTACAGTGGCGTTCTTCGGCACGAATCCCGCCTCAGGAAGGGGAGAACAACTTCGACCGTAAACTTGATCGTTAAGAGTCTATTCCGCTGCCTGACGGGAGCTAACACCGAATTCGTAACGATATCCTTCCACAAGTTCTAGGATCGTAGGAACTAATAGGCGTCGCCGACGCGACGTATCCACGTAGGTAGGTGGATGTATAAAATTAAATACGGCACGCTCTAGATGGATTCTGCTGACCTAGGTCTCCTTCGGTGCAGAAAGCCACTGAGGAATTCCGGGCTAACCATCGCCGAACGGGGAGGTTCTGCGCTCGTTTATCCACCGCCATGTGTGCAAAGGGAGCCCCGCTTAATACTCTCCGTACGTACTCACAAATAGCGCCCAAGTCAATTATCGCGAGCCACATCGGGACCGTGTCTACTGATATTCTGCAATCCACGGACCAATAACCGAGTCGACTCATGGTGGCTGCGCACTCCCTTCCTCGTTTTATATCTGTCAGGATCCCCCGAGAGGAATTCCCGCTCGCATCGAGATCGGAGCGAGATCAATATTGGGATGATGAGCTCTCCAATTTTTTCAACTTGCTTCTCTGTGTATCAATATTCACCCCGAGGGTGAAACCAGACAGAAGGAAGGTTGACAAGTGGTGATTATTTGATCAGGTCGCAGAGAGGACTATGAGCAGGGAAGTCGCTCTCGTGTCGATAGGAATCGATGGATCCATCGACCAGCAGCAGCAACGGGTCGACAGGGGAACTCCATCAGCACCGGTATCTCGCCTCTCGGCTTCTAGGATAATCGAATGGAGCCTCGGAGATGGGAGTCCTCGTTGATCTCCGGGGACCGCATCCGCAGAGCTCTCTCAGGGGAAATCCTCATAGGGCAAGGTCGTTTTCGTCCTGTCCGAAAATAAACTGACTTCTAGAGGGCTTCCTGAAAAAGCAAGACGGGAGGAGTTCCTCGACGAGCGGAGCCGGAAGGAGCCGCTGAACTTGCTCGGATCTCAGATGACGCTGACACTTCCTCAACGACAGCTCAGGCGAGGAAATTCTGGCCACCATAAAAAATTCTGGGAGCGTCGGGCATTTCCAGGCTGGTAGGTTCAGAGTTGAGCAATCACCGTTGAAGACGACCACAAGCCCGATCGATCCATCGATGATGGATCCAGGCTCCTCTCTGGCAATGTTCGAGACGAGAATGTCGGACGAAATTGAGACCCTGGAGACCCGTCGACTTCTGGGCGTCATTTCAAAACGGCAAACATTCGCAATCGCTCGGTACAGAATCTTCGTCGCCATCTGCACCTATCTCTAACCCATCGAGAAGTTTCGTTTCCTGTCGACGAGCATACTGACTCAGCGCAGCCCTGAACGAAGGATCCTGACATACCGGAATCGCTCGAGAAAACTCAAGATTCACGAGCTCCGGATGGAGGGATCAGCGAGCAGGGAATATTCAACCGTGCTCGACAGAGACACCTCGGAGTTCCAAATAATTCGATTCATTTCATTCGATTCGCTACCGACATTCGCGAAGTCCCGCATGCGAACAGCGGAGGGCTCGACCCACAAAGGTCTATGAAAACCCGTTCTTTCCAATGTCGAGACCTGGATGATGCATTGCTGATTTTCCGACAAATACTCCGCCTCGAATGACGAATTATTCACCAGGAACTGGCTCGCGACCGTCGAATGAAGTTGCACTATATTCCCCCTCAAGCCTCCTGCCGTCGACGCGGCCGGGCAAAACTTTCCGAAGCCTTTCATCTATCCTGGTTAGGAGGAAGTTCTAGATTCTCCAAGCAACATCAATCTACGGCCACTGTCGAAATGTCACTTTACGAATCGATATCTCCTCCGACAAAAGCCTATCTCCTAGTCGTCTGTCGAGCATTTTACGGAGTTCCAAAGCGCCAGTACTGAATTACAAGAGCCTACACGAACGTCAGTCAGCACGCCGTTCAGGTGGGGGATGGGTTTCGCGTATCGGCATGACTGTCTATGGCTAAAATCGATATCGGAGCCCACGTGGTGAACGAACCGCATACTAAATTGGGGAACGTTCACCGTCGGCGAGGCAGAACTCGGGCACAAGCTGAGCTGGCGCGGGAACGTTTTTCCTTCTGGAGAATCCCAGAGGGTCGCTCTAGGGTACAGGTCATTACGCTCACCTCCACCACGAGAGGGGTGCTCTATCAAAGTGTCAGACATTACGTGACTTTGTCCGCCGCGTCCGCTCAACGAACAAAATCTCGTCACGGTGTGTATTAACTGTTCTACCGCAGTGTAGGGGAGAGCAAGAGCATAGTGATATGCCGTGCGAGTTCTGCGGATCCCGCGTTCGGGACTGCGTGTTCGGCAGAGAGTCAGACTTCGGATTCTTTCTCTTTCTTTCTGGGTTGCAGGAGGAAAAAGTATGATTTATTGACGTCACTGTCCGGAGAACGTCTGGCGTCGAAATCCCACCTCTGAAGGGAGAGATTCGCATGTGATGCACGTAAGCGCACGCTGGTTCCCCCTCCGATCCCGCGGGACACCAAATCTTCGCAACGCAACATTCAGTCGCACTCGGAAATTTTCGGATATTTGATTTCAGGTTTTGGAGAAAGAATTCATCTCGTGTGAAGCAAAGCCCTCCGGATTTATCTGTCGACCTCGTCATAGTCTTCGCGAGTTGCGACAGCCCTGATAGCCCATCGGATACGGAAAACACTCCTTTTCACGACAGAAATGAGTGCTGATGAACTAATCATCTGGGAGCCGCTTCAATTCTTCCCCGAAACTTTGAACTCTGACAGCGAACCGGTCGAAGTTTATTCTTAGTCAGCGAGACAGACTAGCTCCACGATGCTGTGGTCAATATGGCGGCCCTGCGGGCACGAGGGTCCTTCGTGGCTAGGGAGCTCCTCGCTGCGCATCTTCAAGGTCGACTCGAAATGAACACTCGGTTGAAATGCTTCGCTGCCATGGGAAAAAAAATTCATCACCTGAGTCTCGAGTGCTTGCCCTGTGCTCCTCTACCTCTCCCGTGATGTCTCGGGATTGTGCCGAGAGGCTATCCATAATTCATCTCGGGAGCGTGACACTTGATTCTGCATCGTCAGACGCTGTTCCATGTTTTGCGAGGATCACCCCATCTGATAATTTTTCCCCTCTGCTCCTGATGGTGCGACCCTCCGTCGAAGACAGCGTCAAAGTGGTCTACTCGTATACATACATATTTACGGGGACCGCGCCCTCTGCAGGGTCATTTACCGAACGATGACTTATGCCTCTCTTCCGCAGTTATCTCGAGCAGCTACCGTCCGAGCAGGAATGACGTCATCGGTGTTTGAGGCGTCGGCTACCGACGGTCGATTGGACGCAATTATTCCTCTGGCCGACTGGAAACGTCGCGGTGACATCCGACAAAATCACCGTACATCTACAAATAAAAGGCGTCCCCGAATACAAGGCACTTGCTGAAACTACTAAAATAGAAGACACCCCCTCAAATACTCCTGTAGAAGGCACCCTCTAGAAACAAGACATCCTCCAAATACTAGACACCCTCACGAGACAAGGCACCCTCAGGATACAAGGCACGCTCAAAATGAATACAAGACATCCCCAAATGCAAGAAAAGGCTGAAAAACAGAAAACAGGAGATGCCCCAAACAAACAGCCCGTTTTATGATCGGTTGGTACTGAGTTGGATAGTTGCCTTCCATGGATGAGGGATGTAACTTGATACAATTTCGACAGAAATGTCTGGAGCCACAGATCCAATTCGAGGTTGATGCGGAAGTTGATCTGAGATCGACATGGAATCTTGTACAGGAAGGCATTTCGATCCGGACATGAATAAGTTTATCTCTCAAACTCCAGAATTGATCCGTGAACAGATCGTCCTGTCGACGGCGAGTTTTCAAGGCGTCTCTGAATTTCATGATTCCGGCCGTCTCTATCTTGGTATTCTCAGCAACTGTCTTTTCCCCGGGGGCTGTCCTGAATTTTTATTAAGTCTTGTATTTGAGGGGTGTCCTCTATTTAAG